AGTAGATTAACTCGCTGATATAATTAATTTTTTGACAAATTTGTATTTTTTTTATAAACTCAGCTATATTTATAATACCAAAAAAATACTTCATACTTTAGAAAGTAATTGTACTAATGTGATAATATTAGTCCTATATGCAAATCGCGATATATTTTAATTAATTGAAATATTTCGGAATAAAATAATAACGATTATTTAAGTTATTTTTGGTGTTGATTTAAAAATATGAGCTACATACAAACTTGAACTAATAATAATTATATATTTTGTAAGATTTATGATATTTCTTAATGGTTCTTTGAGAAATAATTTACTTGTTCGTGAGTTGAATTTGTTTCTTAAAAATATACCAAGTTCTATGCGTTATGTACTTACTCTTAGATAATAAACCAATAATAACCGAGTATTGCTTTGGTTGTTATATAATACGCTGAGACGATCAGTTATCTGTAATAAATTCAAAACAAATGTAAAATTGTATCAAACAATATAATAGTTTTTTTTTATACAAAACGTTTATTTTCGGTTCTCTATTCTTAAATTTAGTCATGTCGTTTAAAAGTTATCGTCTAGTAGGAATAATGTTATGATAATCATCGCTGTTAGAATAATAATCTTTCTGAACCAATTGTTGTCACTATTTTTTAATTACTAAAAGATACAAGAAAGATAAACAGATAAATATAACTCATGTTAAGTTAATTTTATATTATTTCTAATAATTAATACTTTAAAAATATTATTATAAAATGATTAGTAAATTGTAATTTATTTTTTAATATCAATTCATTTTGGAATGAAATAAAAACTAATCACGTTTGTAGTATTAATCAGTAATGGACCACTTGAAGGTTCTCTTAATTATAAGCTACATATTTTTTAATAGCCTTTCAATGAGGTCCTTAGTCCTTTGGTTGTTCTCGTCATAACACGTTCCAATCTTAAAATAAAAATGTAAATTGTATGTTTCTGTCCAAAACAGATTTCTCGAGAAGAATCTTGTGTAATTTTTTAGAGAGTGTGAATGATAACCTTCACATAACTTACAAACAAATTAATCCTAGACAGCCTCTTTATATATGTATTGTGTAAATCATCTATAACTTTTTGCTTCTTCGTATAACTTCAAATAGATTTAAATATGAATACCTCAAATAAACTAAATGTTTGGATCAGTTAAACGAAATTATGGACTGCAATAGAAATGAAGGATGTAAATTTCAATTCAATAAACCACGCAGAAACTTCTTACTAAAAATACTTAAAGTAATATTTATGTTTTTCGTTGTAGATAATATGTATATTGTTAATAATTGAAAGAGAGCTAGACAGCATACACTCCATTCTATTTTTGATTTCTCCATTAAAAGTAAGGCTATTGAATCAGAGGTCACTGTCGTGTCAATAATAAAACAAGAATTTTTAAACACAGAGCTGTAATATTTCACACAATATTATTTAAGCTTTTAGTTCATGGTTTGAAGAGACACTTTGTCAATAGATGGTCTATTTTTTGTATGAAAATACCTATTATCATTGAAACGTCTTAATTATTGAGCTAACATTTTGAATGATTTAAAGATTCTATCGATAGTATAGAGAGAATTTTCACATATCTTTTTCCGTAACGTTTCTGTCCAAGAGCATTTTCAAACGTTTAAATTTCACTTGGTCTTCTGAGCGTGACATTTGCATTTATGCAACAGAACAAATATTTTGTAGTGCTTTCTGCTTTCGAGTGACGTTACATGTTTCCCATTAACGTACAATGTGTATGTATGACGTATCATCGTATGTATATTATAGTACCGTGTAATCACAAGAAAATAATTTTCCCCGTTACGCGGATACAGACATTATTTCTTTATTGTTATTTACAAAAAGTGTAAAAAATATATAATCGTGATTTTGCGGCAGAACGCAATCTCATAGTGGTCAAAGTACACATTTCCTAGATTCAAAATAACATGAAAATTTTAATGTGCCCGAAGATGGAAAAATATCCTCGATAACCATTCAGACGGCTCGTTGCAACCCATGAGGGTATTGCACTCCTACGTTTATAATAAAAAACAATTGCACTAAAACTCGTTTTCCGGTATATTCGTGTATAAAATGTCTATGGCCTGTGTATTTATAGATTTTTAGGTGTTCGTTATGTGCGTGTTTGTTCACCGCCGTGGTTATAAAATGCAAACGGCGATCGATTTTAAAATAATAATATTTGCAGTAGCCAGTAAATATTTAGCACAAACATAAATCATTGTTAGGTTATACATTAAAAATCTCAAATACTATCGGGTTGTGTGTATTTTGTTTATTAACCGTGTCAACTGTTGCAGCATCTAATTCATATCGTTATTATTTATTATATTATTAATTACTGTAAACGTCCACCGGCAATGAGAGTCAGCATCACTATGTGTACGTAGGTACGCGATACTTTCACATGACACGATTCTTCATTTACAAAGTCAGAGGTCGTCTTTGATTCAATGAAAATGATCCTTTAAAGAGTAACAATGCGTAAAAAAAAAATGACTAGTGAAAGAGACAGTATCGTGTACAACTTTATTCTTTATATCAATGCACATACATGCGAATTTTCTATCAATAGTCGGTTTGTCTAATCCGCATGAAACATTTTGATGGTTAAATTTTCTTGACGCCGTGTGAAATGTGTTTTCTTTTATTTTTTTTAATGATTTGCTCAGCATATTTCTCATGGCATGACTAACCATATCAATTCAATACGTAGACATATGTCATGCATTGTTTTATCAACAATAAAAAAACTTCGACTAATTATTGTGTAGCACAATTCATTGATTATTAATTAATTAATTGCACATTACCCGCGGACAAATAATAATTATTTTTACGTCATTGATAGTAATTATTGTAGTAGAGAAAAATAGGGTTTCATCAGTGCACGTATGTTTTTAAGTGAGTACCCATTGCATGCAAAAAACATGCAACACGAGGAGTAGTCGAATAACGGCGTGCGACCGAAGCACTTAAATAGAATTCGTCCGGTACGCTTTCTCTGTACGAATTTTCAGACGCTTTAAAGTACTAACGCGTATACTTGTACGAAATAAAATACATTTCTAATTGTTCGTGATGGTTTCGAAGATATTATCAATTATTCTCTTATCACACTTTCGTCCTTCTTCGGTATAAAAAAAAGAACCTCGCCGTCGCACGCTTCATAAAGCGGTATGTTGTCTGATCATAATAAACAACATTTCAAAAAAACTAGTTTGAGTGTATTACCTACTTATAAAACGCAAAATGTGTGTTATTGCTCACAGACATCGGGCACACCTTTTGGAAGCTCATATTAGAATTTATTTAAAAGTGTTGCCAAAACCAATGTGAATTTTAATGACTATATTCTAACATGGTGTCCATACTATTTACCAACATACTTATATCCATGTAACATTTTAATAAAATATTTTTTAATCGTTTAATACTTAGTGCTTTCGTACCACGTACAATAAATTCATCTTATTAGAGATATTTTCACACATAAGAATGAAATACCGTGTAATTTGTGGTTTTACGTTTTTCATTTTACATAATACAACTAGTATCACTGTTATTATTATTATTATTTGGATTATAAGAACCGGGAGACGCAATGACCTCTTTCTCATGTTCGCTCGCGGTCATAAAACCGTGCGAAATGTGCCATATAAACTATTAAAAAAACAAAACTTCAATTGTTTTAACTAAATTTACATCGATTTTAGTCGATTGCCGTTTGTTATCGGTAATTGTTTTTATGGCTGTATTCATAGTGTAATTGTGTAGTTAATCGTCATGCAGTGATAGGATAGTAGATTTATGACAATCATTATTTACGGTGACTATTTGAGAGAAAGGATTTCGTGGACCAAAAAATAAAACTATACACTTTGTATTATTACACGTAGGTTTGCAGATTTCTATGCAGTCGACCCGCTAAAAAACTGGTTGGCAAAATTGTCTAAATTTGACATTGATCTACTGAAAATATTATATTAGTCGAATGTTGGTGTAAAATGCAACTGGTATCCATTTGAGTTCAAATTTTTATATTTATAAACAATTTTTGTGATTTGTTTTGCATCACAGTAAAATCATTTTAGTTATATCTTTAAATCATTTACTAAAAATAACGAATTTTTTTTTGTTATTACTCAAACTAGTCGACCATTCCAAAACCTGATTTCTTAGTTGGTTTATTAATCTTTTTCTCAAAATTATAAGTCAAGCGTTATCGGTCAAGATGAACAGCTATTGCTATGAATTCTTCCATATTATAACTAAATACGCATTTAAAGAAGTACTGCATGGTGCATTAACCTCATATTTATGAATCGTGAAAACAGATAAATGAGTGGGTCTTTTGAAATATTATAAAATATTTTTGAACTCGACAATTTTTATTATTATATATTCAAAAGTAATACAGCCTTGCTTGTTTTTTATTTGTTAGAGTAATTAAAAAGTAATATATGTTAAACCTGAAAATTCTTAAAATATTAGTTTAACTTCATTATAAATAATCTTACTATTTTATCTGATAAAAATTTTATTTATTTCTTATTCAAAATTGTAATCAATTAAAGTAGAAGTGAATAGTATTTTTAATTAAAAATATTATAGCCCCTAAACATTTTTTTTTTCAATACTACTTTAATTCGGCAAACCGAATCTAATTATAATATTCGTTATTATTAAGTGCTATTTTTCCATTTAAAATTGTTTCCTAAGGAGAATAATACTTCAATATATTTTATTCTCATAATAATTTCCGAAAAATGAGTACTTATTTTACTTAAATCTGTTTATAGCTCAAACACTTAATTTATAGAATGAGTTGCATATAATGCATAATATTATACATTTCACGTTAAGTTTTATTATTTTTAAATATGAACTGTATAACATGTTACTACGATATTTAACTAACAATCTCTTTTAATATTTTTTTAATTGTTTTACAGATGAGGACTGGAACATTGGTTCTTTTGAAGAACCATTGGTGAAATCTACAACCGACCATCCAATGCCAAGAGTAAAAAGACAAGACAGTGGCGTAGATAGTAATACAAGTCCATTGACATCACCGGAAAAAGACTATTACAGTAAGCAAGAGCATATCAACGCAAACCATTTCAGAAAGCAGAACCATAACATTTCGTCGGATATTCGAGACAAATATTCGGATCGCAACGTCGCTTTGGTCCAGCCGAGGCTGAGGAACAGCGAAGTGACAAGGAAACCGTCTGCAGCAAATGATCATCGACGCAAGCCGGTGGAAACTCGACAGCGGTCACCTTCTCCGGATCAAGTGCCGTTGAAAGAGTCTCCCAAGGAAAGATTCAAAGATGCTAAAGAAAAATTCCTCATGATGGAAAAAGAGCGTATTGACGAACAAAGAATAGCGCTGAAAAAATGCTTAGAGCGACAACGTAAAGATATAGGACCTGCTATGATACGTGAAATCGTAAGAAGCTCTAACTGGTCTAAAAAATATGGTTCTGATGATGAGGCTGATCATTCAGATAGGTATAGGGATGATTTTAAAGACGACTTTAATTATAGGAATGATAGGCGGAGCAACAGATCAAAAGAAAGTTTCGATTATGATTATGAAAGTTACCCAAAACCTGTGACCAACAGGCACTCAAGAATTCAAGTAATTAATTTAATCTAATAATAACAAGAGTACCAAAAATATTTTATAGAAAAGCTAAAATCTCAACTCATTAATGTAACATTAATGAAGTTTTAATAAAATTGTATTTTATTGAACCATTTCAGCCTCCCGAGCTATGAAATTGAGCATGAACATTTCCATAATGCCCATTTTTCTAGAATTACATTCAACACTAATATTCTAAAAAAAGTTTTAGTTTTTTTATCACGTATTTTTAAAATTAAAACATCAACGAATTTTACTTTTTATATAATATTTAATTGAACACAACAATATATTGAAATAACTATTAATCCCGCGCTTATCTACTAGAATAATAAAATAATTATTACTTAAATTAGAACAGATATTTTTACACGAGTCACGAATACAAATCTATTAAAAGTTAAAAATAATGGTAATAATTCTTGGTAGTTTTAAATAAGTTTACTTTTTCTTTTTTCAAGTAAATAGTATTTTTTTTTTTTTTTTAATACCATAACTGGTTGATCAGTTCTAATGTTATATTTTAGATTTTATTTAACATATCGATGTTGAAAGTGTAATTGTCTAGTTAAAAGTAATTTTTAAGTAAACTCCTAAATCTTTGATTAATTATAAGTGATTCTAAAAGAAAATTGGGATATGACACCCATAAAAATTAGTTCTAGTCGACTTTTAAAATCTTCAAAATCGTAAAAATATTGAATTCAATTAGTGGGCTAAATATAAGATAAATTTGAACTTCTACTTTTTGGTAACATTACTTCTAAAATTTTTTATTGTCTAACTACTAAAACATTTTTTATGCATTAAAAATGTTCTTTGATTTTAATCAATGGATTACGTAAGCTACCAGTATTCAAATAATCAATGTATAGAAAAATTACATAAGGTTATAAGTTACAGTTTAATTTTACTAAAAGTAATTTGTTGGTAATCGACATAGATTTAGTTATGGTTTTGTATGCGGTTCATTGTTCATTAACTAACGTATATACAGAGTGTCTCAGATCTAACTAACAACGCTAATAAATTTTGATACAGTTATCATTCTGTTGAATTTTTTTTTTTATAATTATTACCTTTTTAGACCAAATTTTAAGTAAATTTTTAGCTTCGATGCGAAGCAGAGAAGGTATTAATTTTACTATGATGTGTTTTTTTTTGTGTTTGTTGCCACTTTTTCTCAGCTCGCACTGGACCGATTTCTTTCAACAATACATCAAAAGATCACAAATCGTATCTAGTTGAAGACATTACCCTTAAAAATTGAAAAAATTTCCCTCGTTCCCCGCAAATGGGGGAAATATCCAAAAAAATTACAAATTTAAAAATCGATAAATTTTGTCATTTTTTTCAATTTTTTTTCTTAAAACTTCCATAACTTTTTCAAAAATCAACAAATCAACATAATTTTTTTTTATACTGAAACCTTAGGTAATTTCCTTTTGTTTGATATAATTTTTTTTGAAAATCTGACACTTATTCTGCTCACTGGGAGTTTTAAAATAATAACTTTTTTACAAAAAATAACTTTTTCAACTTAATTTTTGAAAATGTTCCGGAAATACTGCTTCCTTTAAACATATATCAAATTAAAGCTTATTTTATGTATTATAAAATAAAAAAAAAAATTTGTACTGACGACCTATCTTCTATGCACAAATGGCTACCGTATTCAAAAATATGCTATTTTAACAAATTTTTTTTTTTTAAATTAAACTATCTATAGATTTGCATCGAAGCGTTTTTTATGATAGTGATTTTAATCACTGTCAGATATCATCTATATATATATATATATATATATTTATTTATTTATCACTACCTATAAGAAAAAATAAAAAAATCATGTTTTTTCTTCAAAATTGTGAATTAGCTATTTTCTAGCCCTTGTATCTCAATTGATTTTTTTTTTTTTTTTTTGTTAACATTCTAAAGGCTGGTTGGCAGCAATTTTCCACTCCTGACGCTTCTCAGCTTTCCTTTTTAATTCGCAATAAGATCTGCAGTCCATATCTCTAATTATTTAACTAATGTAGTCCAGTGATGGTCTTCCTCTGCTGTTGTTCCCTTCAATTGTACCTTCTATTATTCTGCTTAGTAAATTGTTATGACGCAGTACGTGTCCAATTAACTTGGCTCTTCTTGTTTTTAATGTCTTTAGAAAACTCCTTATTTCTCCGGCTCTGCGATAAACTTCGTCATTTGTTATGTGTTCTGACCAACTTATTCTTAGAAACCTTCTGTAACAACAAGTCTCGAACGCTAGGAGTCTTTTTTCTTCTGTTTTACCTATGGTTCATATCTCACTTCCATACAGTGTTATACTCTAAACATAAGTCTTTAGTAGGTTTTTCCTCGCTTTTATATCAATATTTCTGGATATTAACATATTTTTCTTGCTCTGAAATGCATATTTAGCCTGGTTTATTTTGCTTATGACCTCTCTGGTACTATGGCCATCCTCTGTTATCTTGCTTCCCAAGTATTTATATCTAATGTAATTTGAGTTTGGATTCTTTTGTTACGGCTGCAAACAAGAACTTTAGTCTTTGTCTTGTTTATTTTCATATTGTACTCATTTTTTATTGTTGAGTTTATTTTTTCTAAGATATTCTGTAGATTCCCTTCATTGTCTGTTATTACCACTATGTTAACTGCAAATCTTAGCATATCTATTCTTTCTCCATTTATTCTTATCCCTACTTCGATTTCTTCTCTTACTTTATTTATCGCTTCTTGTACATATAGGTTAATGGTGACAGTGTGCACCTCTACCTCACCCCTTCAAATTTTTGCTTCTTCCTGGCTATTTCCACATCGTATTACTCCTATTTCTTGCTCGTACAAGCTTTTGATTATCCTTCTATCCTTATATATAACCCCGACTCTTTTCAAGATATTTAATATATCGTTTTCCATTTTACTTTATCAAAGGCTTTTTCTAGATCAACGAAAGCTATATAAGTTGTTTTCATTTTTCTATTCTGCTTTTCAATAACTTGTCATAGTACTAAAATAGCTTCCCTAGTGTCTTATCTTCTCCTAAAGCCATATTGGTTCTCAGTTAGCAATCTCTCTATTACTTGTTCCACTCAATGGCTACTTGTCTTGAAATTGTCCACTTATTAAACATCTTTGTATTTTAAATAAAAAGCATTATCTATTAGCCAAAAAAAAAACCATTTAGCCTAATTGATTTGCTTGACATCTCATAGATTTATTTTTTTTCGACTAAATAAATTTTAATTTTTGACATTCTGTTATTTTTCATAATAATGTGTCGTTTTTTATTCGTTAATTAAATTAACTGAATTATAATTGTTCTCCTATCAGTTTTGTCCAATAAAATATCTTTACAATATTTCAAGAAATCCTTTTAGGAAATATGGAAATCTTATATTTAATTAAAAAATTCAATCATAACATTAAAAGTGATTAAACTTTATTTAGAAAAAAGTGATTTGGCTTAACTATTAAAATGTATATATATATATATATATATATATATATATATAATATTATTTTTTTCAGCATGAACGAGAACATGGACAAGTCCCAAGAAGCTATTCAGACGATTACTTAGAACAAAACAATAATAAATACAGGTCATCATCGTCTGAAAATCGGTTTGTAAGTCCACAAAGAAGAGCAACTGAAGTGCCTAGAGCGGCACCCAGACGAAACCCCGTTTGTGACAATGCTCCTCTTAGGCCTGATTACAAACGGCGGTCCACAGCTCCCTATGAAGAAGGCAACACAGGCCATGAGCGAACTCGTGATACGTTACAAGAAAACAGTCTGTTAGTCGATGGACCATCGCCTTCCAGAGAATACAAAAGACGGTCGGCCGCGTATGCATATGAAGACCACAGAGTTGGTGCTTACAGCAAGCGAGAGTTGGAAAAGCGAATAGATGACTGTTCTTATCCTTTAACATCTGCACCAATTTCGCCCAGGTATAGACATAGTTATGCCGAACCTTATCATAAACGTAATCATCAACCTACACCCTTGCCTCCACAAGATCCAATGTATAGACATCAAGCCAGTGGAAGAATAGGAATAGCGGCCATTCATCATTATTAATTATTATTTTATAGATGACCATACATCGTAAAATAATTCGTATACTATATTATTTGTAAAAACAAATCAATATTGATTTCTATAATTTCTTGTATAATTGTTGTTACTAAAAACCTTTTACTTATAAATTGATTGTACATCACAATAGAGAAGAATGATGATTTTGATTAATTCTGTAAATCATTTTCAATTTTAAAGTTTTGGCTCATAGTTTTAGATGCCGGGGCTTTTTCACTTTAAAAAAGTTTTTCACAAAAAAAAAATTATTCAACTTAATAAAAGATTTTTTCTTTTTAAATAATTAAAAATACTATATTATTACAAATTAAGAAGAAAATTTTAAAAAATTCTTATTATGCTAACATTTTTAATAGTAAATTTTAAGTCATACTATTATTTTTACAATCATGTCAACATACTTAAAGCCATTCTATTTACTCAAAAACATATTTGTCACATAAAAAATTAACTAATATGACAAAAAATGTTCACTACTGATTCTATTTATTAATTATTGCAAAAATATTAAGTAAATTTCATATTTTTACAATTCTAATAGTATCTGTAAATTATTTAGCCATATAACATAATTTCATATATATATTTTTTACTGCGTTTTAGTGATTACTTTATTATATCATACACAAATTAATTGTTTTATTTTTGATATTGAAAAACATTGGTTTATCGAGTTGTTTGATTTTTTCAATTCATTGTTTTTATCAATATTTAAAGAACGAAAAAAATAAAATATCGTTCAATTTTTTTAAGTTTAGTGATATCTTCAACTCTCTTTAAAAAAATTATACATTTTCTGTTAAAACTATAATTTTATATTTTAAAATAATATTACTTATATGAGTTTTATACTTTTTGTTAGATTATTAACATAAAATATGTGTGATATTAAACACAACCCTTTGACTGTTTTTATGTTTATTATTATATAATCAATGTTTACTATTAAGAATGAATTGATTCATTAATTAATCAACAATTATGAAATATATATATATATACAGGGTGTAAATCTTTCGAACCATAGTAATGTATGGGCGAGTATGCTGGTAAAGTGTAAAATAAGACCTCGTTTTTTTTTTTTATTTTCCAAAATTGGAGGAATTTTGAAATAACCCCCCTGAATTTCTCTAAAATTAAAAATAAATCATACCAAAATATTTCCCGCAAAATTCTCATACAAATTGAGTGGTCACTCGATTTTTTGTAACTTTTGCGCCCTCCCCTGAACTTTGGGTTCAAAGTTGGAAAAAAATTTCACATTAGTGTGACCCATCAATTTATATTGAAATTTCAATGGGAGTCCTGTGATGTAGTTTATTTTTAGTTTAATCGATTAAATAATAAGAAATACCGAAAAACCCACAAATAATGTGATATTTTTTTAATTTCATGAGTCTATTTCGTCTTTTATTATTTATTCAAACCGATTATAATTTTTATCATTGAAACTGTTATAAAATTATAAAAATTTTTCTTTTTAGGTCCGGAAAATAAAACAATTATACTATTGAAATGAATATTTTTAACTTTACTACAATAGGATAATTAGAAATAATTATTTTAATGTAATCGGCACACTACTCTTTTCCGAAATTAATCAATAATGAGAATATGGTACATCACTGAGCTTGTTAATGTTTATTTANTACCATATTCTCATTATTGATTAATTTCGGAAAAGAGTAGTGTGCCGATTACATTAAAATAATTATTTCTAATTATCCTATTGTAGTAAAGTTAAAAATATTCATTTCAATAGTATAATTGTTTTATTTTCCGGACCTAAAAAGAAAAATTTTTATAATTTTATAACAGTTTCAATGATAAAAATTATAATCGGTTTGAATAAATAATAAAAGACGAAATAGACTCATGAAATTAAAAAAATATCACATTATTTGTGGGTTTTTCGGTATTTCTTATTATTTAATCGATTAAACTAAAAATAAACTACATCACAGGACTCCCATTGAAATTTCAATATAAATTGATGGGTCACACTAATGTGAAATTTTTTTCCAACTTTGAACCCAAAGTTCAGGGGAAGGCGCAAAAGTTACAAAAAATCGAGTGACCACTCAATTTGTATGAGAATTTTGCGGGAAATATTTTGGTATGATTTATTTTTAATTTTAGAGAAATTCAGGGGGGTTATTTCAAAATTCCTCCAATTTTGGAAAAAAAAAAAAAAAAACGAGGTCTTATTTTACACTTTACCAGCATACTCGCCCATACATTACTATGGTTCGAAAGATTTACACCCTGTATATATATTTATTGACCTTATTATTTAAAATTTTTGAACATTTAAGTTATAAATTCATCAATTATTATGAAATAATATCGAAACATAATTATTAATTATCTTAAGTGCTAAGTGAAAAACTTTTTGCTATTTCTGTAAGATTTATGGGCATGATCTATTTTTTATTGTATAATAATTTTATAAATTCTTCACAAAATATAATAATTTTTTTAATTTTTTTTCTCGGCATAAAAATATTGATTCAAGTTTTTTGACATAATTTAATTAATTTTTTTTTAATTATCTATTCAATAATTTTTATGTATACCAATAAAATCTTTGGTATATTAATTGTATGCTTATTTAACTATACTCTCGGAATATCTTTAAAAATATAAAATACTATATTTTATTGGTTTTCCATTTAATAAGTTAATAACAATCTACATTCTATAATTTTCAAAAAAAAAAAAACTGTTCCTCAACCAATTGTTTCCCCTTTAAAATTTTAATAGTTTTAATCTTTTAAGTGGAATTTTCAATATTTTAAATTTACAACTATAAAATGATCTATCAAGAAAAACGATTAGCAGATAAAAATTGTTAAATCAGTATTTTGGAAGTTATTAACTCTGTAATATAAAGACATTGAGTTGAAGCAGATTGTTTATCTCTAAGCATTAATATACCACATTACTCCTTCAGTCATAAAAATATATATATATTTTTTCTTATTAAAGATATTTAATAAAAATATGTTTTTAATTTAATCCAAAACTATATAAATATAAAAAAATAAATAAATGCTAAATATTTGCTAGATCATAAGTTATTAAAGATATTAATTAACTTAATTAACTTAATTAGTCAAAAAATAAATATAATATTGAGAATTGTTTTTTTTTTTTAATTTTTTTTGGTACATGTTTTTTTTAATCATAAAGTGTTTTTTATGTTTATTTATTCCTATACTTCTTGCCTAGAAAAATGTTCGTAAATTAATGCTAATAAATTTTCTGAATTTAAATTTTTTTCATAAAACCTAATTACCTGAGGATTATAACACGTTCTCTTTTCTTTGTGCTAAATTTAAGCGATTTTCTAAACTCAATTATCATTCATTCCTACCTAATTCCATTACTTATCTTAATACGTTTTTAATAATTTTTTTGACTTTTCCTCTTCTTTTTCAAATGATTTTTCTTTTACTTTTAAACCTCCAATAACTTTTGTCAATCCACTTAATGACAACTACAATCTTGAATACTCTCTGCCTTCTAATTGTCTTTTAGCTTCGATGCGAATCTGAGAAGGTATTAATTTTCCTATGATGTGTTTTTTTTTTTTTTTTTTTTTGTGTCTGTTTTTTCTCAGCTCTCACCGAACGGATTTCTTTCAACGATACGTCAAAAGATCACAAATCGTATCTAGTCGAAGACATTACCCTCAAAAATTGAAAAAATTTCCCTCGTTTCCCGTAAATGGGGGAAACCTGCAAAAATATTAAAAATTTAAAAATCGCTAATTTTCGAAATTTTTTCAATTTTTTTTACTTAAAACTGCCATAATTTTTTCAAAAATGAACAAATCAATATTATTTTTTTTTATAGATGCTTAATGTCTTTACCTATCATTTGATATATTTTTTTTATAAATTTGACCCTATACCTGCCCACAGGGGGGGTTTTAAAATGACAACTTTTTCAACTTAACTTTAGAAAGTGTTCCGGAAATACTGACACTTTTATATATATCTTAAATTAAAGCTAATGTAATAAATTTTATTATGAAAAAAAAAAATTTCGGACTTTATTTTATCTTCATGGTGAAAATGACTACCAAATGCTATTTTTGTGTTAAAATTCTCGATTTTGTATTTTACATTTTTAACTTTATTATGCTATAACTTTTTGAAAATGTATGGATAAATACAATTTTTTCATGAAAAGTAGTATTTATATACATCTTTCATTCAACATACTGTTTCTTTAAATCGGACTATTTCCCTTAATACAGGGGGGGTTCAAAACATAAAAATGCATATAGAAAGTAGAACTTTTTCAACTTAATTTTTGAAAGTGTTCCGGAAATACTGACACTTTCATATATATCTTAAATTTAAGCTTATGTAATATACTTTAATATTAAAAAAAAAAAATTAGGGCTTTATTTTGTTTTCACGGTGTAAATGGCTATCAAATGCTATTTTTATGTGAAAATTCTCGATTTTATTTTTGAAATTTTTATCTCTATAATGCTGTAACTTATTGAATAGTGTATGGATCAACAAAATTTTTTTATGAGAAATAATATTATTTAATAATCCCTTTTTCATTCGACATACTTTATCTTAATAACGGATATTAATAAGGAATTAGCAGATCATGTAACTTTTGGAATAATCCACCAATTTTTTAAAATTAAACACTATCTAAAGATTTGCATCGAAGCGTTTTTTTTTTTTTTTGATAGTGATTTTAATCACTATCAGATATCATTATACTTGATCCAACTATGCCACGTCACCACTGAGCCGCGACCCCCATGTACTGGCTTTTTTATTCCTAATGATATATTCGAAATCTTTGATAAATTAAAAAACATTTCCTTAATTGAATCTGATAGTATCTTAGCAAAATTTCTTTATAATTCTTGTTTTCTTTGTTTTTTCCTTTATTTCTTCATTTCAGAAAGTTCTGAGATTATTAACCTTCCATTCACTATGGAAAATCTATTCTGCAACACCTATCATGAAGTGAGTAAATCATTCTCTTGTTATAAACTACAGACCTACATGTATTATTCCTGATATTTCTAAAATTTTTAAGTTAGTAGTTTATAAGCTAATCAATCGATGTTGAAATTATGTATATATATCCCTCAACAACATGAATTTAGGCCTGGAAAACCTACCACTACCTACAGCTTTACTTTCACCACATTTATTTCTGACTGTCTTGAAAATCATTCACAAATAGATGTTATCTTTACTGATTTTTCTAAAGCTTATGATTCTGTAGATCATGATCTACTTATTTAGGCTCTAGATTCAATTGTTATTGGTGATCCACTCTTATTATGTCTTAAATAATATCCTACAAGTAGACAGTAATGTGTTAAACTCAATAATAAATCTTCTAACTTATATAACGTTTCATTTGATATTTCAGGGTGGTTACCTAAGACCTCTCTAATCTTCATTTTTATTAACTTTATTAGTAACCACCTCCATAAGTCCTGTTATGCTGATGACATAAAAATATTCCTTAATACTAATATTAATTCTATGTTTAACTGTCTTCTTTTCCAAGAAAAATTTAAATAATACCTACGTTGCACTTAACTTTTTTTTATTTATTTATTTTGTGAGGCAATGTAAATATAAATACTAACGCAAAACCGGCACTAAGAGCGGACAAGGTGTATTTTGCGATTTCTAAGGATCTGAATAGAATAATAATTTCATTTTCTTGAGACCTTATTCCAATGTTACAGTATTGCGAACGAAGATTATTTCTTAAATCCCTCTAATTAATAAATTAAACGTCACAATGTAATTTGGGCTTGATAGGTATACTGAGAGATAGGGTTTAAAAAGAGTTATAGGGTTAAAAATACTTAAACAAAAAGTAATAACATGTTATAAATATATTTTTATTTTGAAATAAAAAATTTTCTCGTGTGCAACTTCCCTCAAAAAAAAATTGTACTCGCTAATGTACTTTCACCTTAAATCACCACAAAAATGATGTTAGTGAGGATAGTTAATCAGTTTTCATTTTTTTTCTTAATTATTTTATGATATTTTACAATTAGAAAATGATGAATATTTTTATAATAAAGATTTAATTTAACTTTTTAAAAAAATTTTCTTGTAATCAATTGTAATTTCAAGTAAAGTATATTTTAATTGCTTTTATAAAACTATAATATTTTATTGAATTTAAAACGGAAACAGTATATCTAATATTGTATCTTATATAGTATAGATAAAATTGTAGTTATTTTCCAATGGGTAGCAGGTACAAGTATAAAATGTACGATGTAAACGGTCATTCACCCGGTTAGCGGAATTCACCACTTGGTCTGGGGAATATTCTGGTGTGTAATCTTAGCAAAGGGTGAGGAGAGTGGGGGACTCCAATAGCACGGTTACCACCGTCATTCATTTTGCCACCCTTCAGTTCGTAAACAGACAGCAGAACTACTATACCGTTAATGTACTTTCGTTCTACTAAAATCTGAACGTAGATGTAAATCACAACATATTAACGTAAAGTGGTAAAATTCTTAATTAAATTAACTAAGGTATGATTGTTGTGACTACAAAAAATTATTAGTAACGTTCATTTTTACTCCACTACAGCAGGTGGTATCACTTTGGGTACAGTGATTATTACTTTTTTATTAGATTTTTTATGAACATAAAAGGCACAGACAATAAGAAATCCCAGACTGTGCCAGCACTGTATCTGAATTGGGATTGTAGGCGTGGCGGGCGTGCGGCACAACGCAAAAATGTGTTGAATGAAGGTTCCCAATATTAAAGACGCCATTTTGTGTTTTTGATGTAATGTTTGATAAAAAAATTTGACAAATCCGCTTTAGTTTTCGCGTCGTTTAAGTTCTCTATACCAATTGTTAATTGTAAATAAATTTTTTTTTAATTATTTAATTTCTTTTTTGTCACGTGCACCCATTTGAACGGACCTAAGTAAGTACATATATTTTGTTCTAGATCATTTAATAAAAAACTTAACTTTTATATACTAACCTATTACTGCCGACTAAAGTATAAGGTTTTTTTTGCAATTTATGAATTAACTTTTGACCTTAGGCCAAATTTAAGTTCACTTTGAGACTCTAAGTTTTAGATTTATTATCTGTCAGTTTTTCCTAGAATAACATTCTATATTTTAAAATTTTATTTTAATGTAGATTCCACCTTGTCCGAGGGTTTGATTTTTCAAAATAGTTGCATCCCAAACTTTTAACCTTTCTTGAAAGTCCTTTAACTATTTTGGAATTATTGATAAAGTAGCTTATTATTGTGTAAAAATTATGCTGCTTTAATTTCAAAAAGAAATTGTAATTTTCTTAGCTACTATTTCATATTTGCCTCCAATTATGTCTGTAAACATTTGGACTATTCTTTTGCTTACTCTTTTCATTTTATATATATATTTTATATTCTTTATTTCTCCCCGAATAGCATGAATTTATTATCAAACTTAAAATTGTTTGATATAATTCTTGTTTGTGTTTTATGGCATTTTTAAGCTGTCTTTTGATAATGATTATTTATTTTACTTGAATTTGTAAACTAATTCTAGAAAGATAATCCTAATTACATTTCCTATACTCAATTTATTGTATGAATAGGTATTCTTTAATTAATCATTAAAAATGTTTTGATTATCTTCATTTTTTTTACACACTAAGTTATTGAATTTTAAAATGTTATAACCCCTATAATTAAAATAGTTAAGTATTTCATGGTGTTAACAAAAAGGCTTTCTACCTCTTAATTATGATAATAAATATTATAGAAATAATAGTTTTGAGATATTAAATTTCTTTATTAAATACTAATTAGTATGATTTACTACTCCATAATATTAAAAAAAGATTTTTAAACAAAGTTATTTTAAATATTGTGTACTAATAATATATATTAATTTATCTTATGCTGAAAATATTTTAAATATATATATATGTTAATTTCATATTAATAACTAGTTTTTAGTTATTAATTAATTTTAATAGTTATATTTTGATGATTAGGTAATTTATAGCAATTAAAATAATTAGGGATTTATTATACAAGGGCTGTTCAAAAAGTAAGTTGTATTTTGCTATAACTTTTTATGAAGTAGGAAATTTTTCATAAAATTTTTTGACAACACCATTTACACATCTTTGTCAAAGTTCTGATCATTAAATTGACCAAAATTATAGTATTTTCGTTAGAATAAGATTCCATCATGTACTGTTTTACTTTATCAACATCCAAAGTGAATATCCGCATTGTTATTAAGTTTTTATGGTTAAACAATTTTAAAGTTGTCAAAATTCTCAGAAAATCATGCTAAGACTTTGGTGAAAAAGTAATTTCATGATAGTAATGCAATGTGTTCAAAAATGGCCACGTGAATATTGCTGATGAACACTGCGCTGAAGGCTTCTTATGTTAATAGCTGCTAAAAAATTAACTGCATGGACAAGTTATTTCGATTGAATAACTATTGATGAGATTACTGTAACTATAAAATTTTCTTTTGATAATGCTCAATACATATTCAGAGATAACCTAAAGTACAAAAAAGTTTGTTCAAAATAAGTATCAAGGTTATTGACATAACACAAAAGCTGTCGAATGCAACCTTTCAGTTTGGTCTTGTCACAATTTTGTAAAATGGACAGTGATTTCTTTGACAGATTATTGACTCATAATGATATATAGGTCTACTCCACTTTCAAAATGTTGTTACATCTGCAGAAAAGGTGATGCTGATACTTTTTTTTGACAACAAAAGAATAGTTCACTATGAGTATATCTATAGGTAGCACACAATAAACTCAGCTACTTATTGAAAAACTAAAAACATTTAAAAATGTCATAAGAGATTTTAGACCAAAGAAGCTATCTAATGAATTTTGGTTTTTTTAAGACTGAATGTGACTCCATATTCAGTGATAATAACCAAAGAACTCTTCTAAAAGTTCAGATGGGAAGTATGGAAACATGCATATAATTATAACATTCTTATAATTCAGTGTTGTCACCATGTGATTTCCATATTTTTGGATCAATGAAAGATAAGTTAACAAAGGAATGATACATCAGTTTGAAAAGGTAAAAACAGTCACTCTAAATTGAGGCACTGTAGTAGGACAGCTGTTTTTTAAACAAAGCATATATAATTTAATACAGCAGTACAAAAAATGTCAAATTACTTGATGACTGTGTAAAATAATAACAGTTACATCTATATTTAAATAATAAAAAAATTTCTTGAAAATTTATAATAGTTTTTATTTTATTTCATAATGCAATCTACTTATTGATTGTACCTTGTAGATGGGAATGAAAAAAGGCTTTCTTATTTTTTGTATGCATTAAAATAAGTAATACATTTTTTACAGATAAAAGGTACGTTCTAAGGGCGAGTGTATAATCTAAATGGTGCCTTGCAGACAGTATGTCTACATTGTCAGGGGTCAGTTTGAAGGGGGAGAAAAGCAAAGGAAAGATAGCATTCCAATCTCTAAAAATAAATAGTTTGTATAAGGTATTTAATTTATTTAATTATCAAATTTCCTTGTTTATTTTAATTTAGTATTTAATGACAAATTAAAATGTTTTACTTTATCAATACCTGTATATAAGTAATGCTATAAATATTAATATTATTATCAGGGAGAATCAACTGAAGTAAATCAGCATAAAAGTATTGTAACTCGTAAAAATGGATTGCAGCCACTTGGAAAAGTTATTCGAAATGTACGTAATCCTGTTAATTTGCCAAGTGAAAAGTCGGAATCTAACCATGAGTCTTCAATTAATCTAGTCCCTATTGGTGGTGCAGGATGGGGAAACAAACAAACAGAGAAACCACTTGTGGTAAGTTAATTGAAAAATTATTCATTCATATCTGAAACTAGATTTTTATGTTAACAGGTTGCGGGCAAAGAAGTTCCGCCGACATCAACTCCTACAACTCTGCAATCATCCCAAAGTGGGCTTGTAACGGGGCAACAACATGTATTGTCCCATACTACTTCCGTAACCTTAACAACAACACGAGTATGTTTCTCAATTTTTTTTTCACATTTACATAAAAATGTTGAAAATATTATTTATTGAAATGCCACCTTAATTTTTTTGTCTTATTTAACTCGTTCTATTTAAGATTTTTAAATCTTATATTTAAAAATTAAACGTCTTATTTCCTAATATATAGTTTTCAATTTTTTTAAATTTATTTTGTGGTTTACTATTTTGGTATTTTGAACTTGACTGAAGTGTTCAATTAATATATTTTGTCTTAAATTCTGTAATTTTTTTTATTAGCCATCTCATTCCGATGGAAAAACATGGGCCAACAAAATAACAGATGTTCCAGCTGCTCCCACTTATTTAGCACATCGAACTGTGCAATTTCAACAAGAATTCCCAAGTTTAACTTCAAGTGGAGAAAACAAAAATCAAACAAATATAAATACACCATCAGCCAGCACAGAACAGAGGCCTTTGCTACGTCCTCAAAGTAAAACCTTGTTAAAAATTGTTGTGAATCTTGTTTATTAATATTTTAATGTTTAAATAGCCGAAACGAGTTGGATGCAAGGTGGCAGTCGGCCTCAAATGCCTCAAGGCATAAATATAATTTCTGGTTCATTAAATCAAGCTCAATCTTCTTCCGGTAAAAACATAATTATAACTAAAAATATTTTTTTATTTAGAACTATTATTTTTGTGTTATACATATTTTAATTTTTATGTTTTCTTTGTATATAAATATGTAATATTTGTATTTATTTTTCAGGATCAGAAATTGTGAATGGCGTACGGAGCAGTTCGGGCCAAAATGGGGCGGGCGGGGTCCAGGTCGGCCTAAATCCATATATTATGCAGTACAGCAAAAATCCAGTTATGAGAAATATGTTGCCCACCTTTGTATGTCATTTTATTTTTTAAACAAACTGATTGAATAATTCTTAATAATAATAGAATCTAATTATATTTGTTAAGATGGTTTCTAATCAGTCTGAAAATATGGTACAACCTCAACCTAAACAAAATTCTTATCTCTCTGAAAAAGTTACACAACATGTCTCTCCTTCTCTAAGTGGAAATGATAATTCATTGAGTAAATCAACAACAGATATTAAGGAACTTGTACCTCCTCCAATTATACGTGATGAAGATTTAAAGAGAATGAATGAACTTTCCAAAGAAGCAGGATGGTCTATTCATGGAGAAATTGATTACAAGTAAATTGTGTATTGGATTTTTGTTAGACTAACAATTGTTTGTCTATTATTTAACTGAAAAATGAATTTAAAAAATGTAAATATGTTCAGGTGTTTTAAAAGTAAGGAAATATGACCTATTTCCTTACTTACAAATAATAAGAACAATAGAAACCTGGTTCCTTACTTACTGAACATTATATATATGATATAAATTTATATTGTTGAGCGTAAATAATAGTAGTTCAATACAATATTGATATGGTGACAAAAATTCAATACCATTATAGTTTATGATTTGTTATATCAAAATATTAAATAAATCTTAGTTTCGACTTTTTTTTTTTTGTAAATTTTACGCACGCACACACATATGTATGTGGGTACCATTGGTGTCTAGATGGCATCACTTCTAGGGTCTGGAGACAGATAGTGGTATCATTTAGTATTATATGAAGGGAAAATTAAATTAAGACATGAGTCGGCTAAGACGTGTTTTTGTGTGAATTTTAATTTTATGTGTATTTTGCTTTATATATGTTATTTTTGTTTGTGAATATTTAACAGGGCTTTTGCGTGTGAATAAATATATATGTATTAAGTAATTGTATTGTGTCTTTGCTCTGTTCCTGTGATTGGCCTGTTGTATTTCCCAATTATTTTTGGTGGCCTGTCCGGGATCATCAGTCAATAAACGGGAATAGAGATTAGAAAAAATATCTTGTCTACTCAAAATCCGGAAAATTTTTAAACTATTTGTCATGTATATTTTAAGTGGTGTTAGTGACGAAAATATCAAAACGTCGTTCTGTAATTGTATTAGTAGACAACGCCATTTTTGTTGAGTAAACGCACAATTTTTCTTTGTTCGTTTTTCGCAAGATCTTATCGTTGTCAATTAGTTTCTTACATCAATTTGAATTTTATAAAACCTTTTGATTTTATAACAGTTCGAGAATAAAAATTCTAATGAAACTATGGATGAAGTTTCTAGATTTCGAGAGGAAGTATATACTTTGAGACTTGAGCATAGCAAATCTCATTTAAGCTTTAGAGATGTTGAAGAGTCACTCTCAAAGTTTTCTGGTGATGATGCTTATCCAGTTAATCAATGGATTGAAGAAATGGCTAATTTACTACATTGATCCGATCCTGAGAAGTTAATTTATGATAAATGTTTTTATTAATTATATATTCAATCGAAAAGAGGAATTGCTACTTGGACAATTTTAAAAGATAAACTGAAGAATGAGTTTAAAAGTCGTATGAACACAGCTGCTATTCATCGCTTACTGTCTGAGCGTTGTAAGAAAAGTGATGAATCATAGCAGTATACTTTCAAAATGAAATAGATTGCTCAACTAGGCAATATTGAAGAAGATTCTTCTATTGATTATATCATAGCTGGTATAAGAAACTTGGAAGTTAACAAAATGATACTGTATGGCACTACATCTATTTATGAGCTAAAATTGAAATTTGAATTGTATGAGAAAATAAAGTTAAATATAAGGGCAAATACAAAGTCAATCATAAATTTCTGCGAGAATCACCTAATGCTTTATTTAAATCATATAAACATGAAGGTTAATCAGCAAACATTAATCGTTGCTACAACTGTGGTACGAAGGGTCACTGTTCTAGTTCTTGTCCTGTTGCTAGTAAAGGATTTAAGTGCTTTTTATGTCAGGAATTTGGTTTTAAAGCATCATCATGTTCTTATTGTACATCAACTAGTCGACTTAATACTGATAGAAGTCAAAGAGATGAAAATATTAAGGTACAAGTGAATCAAGTTAATGATGTCATACTAATCGCATTAGTAAATTAGTTGATTTACAAGGTGTAGAAACTAATGCTTTATTTGATACTGGTAGTGATGTGAATCTCTGCCGAAGGTCATTTATGTTGTTTCTGATGAATCCAGGTCATATGACCTGTTAGGAAAAGTTATATTTTAAACAAGTGCTGAACTGTACATAAATCCTAAGTGTGTGAGAAAAACTAAATATGAAGAAAAAGAAATTCAAATCATGTCTTTAAATATAGATTGTAATGAGCTTAACATAGATGCATAAACTTATACATAGGAAATTAAAAATATAGTGCAAGATTAAGAATCAAATAAAGTAAAATATGTACTGATTGAAACAGTTATTTTATTAATGGATGAAAAACCCTGTTTATCAATGACCACGCGCCTATCTCCAGCAGAAACATGTCAAGTTGACAAACAAATAAAGGAATGGTTACATGAAGACATTATTAGACTTAGCTTTTCTGACTACTCTAGTCTAATAGTTTTAGTCAGGAAGAAAGATAACTCTCTACATCTCTGTGTAGATTACGGGTTGTTAAATAGGAAGATAATCAAAGATACCCTTTGCTATTAATAAATGACTAAATAGATAAATTACAAGGAGCTTCAATTTATACAACTTTTGACTTGAGAAATGGATTTTTCCATGTTCCAGTTCATAAAGATAACATTAATTATACCTCTTTTGTCACACCTAGTGGAGGACAATATGAATTTTTGCAAACCCCTTTTGGACTGTGAGTGTCACCTCCTATTTTTCAAAGATATATTAACTTTGTCTTTAAAGAACATTCAAAAGAGATTATTATTAACATTTATGGATGATTTAGTCATATTAGCCAGCAGTTATGAAGAAAGTATTGAACTTTTAAAACAAATTTTGCCAACTGCTTCTAAATATAGACTGCACATTAAATGGAGCAAGTGTCAATTTCTACATACAGAAATTGAATATCTAGAATACCGAATTTGTAAAAATTCTATAAGATTTTCAATATTGTAGACTGCTGCAGTTATTAATTTTCCTTTACCTAAGTCAATAAAAGCAGTACAGAGTATTCTGGGTCTTACTGGATACTTAAGAAAATTTATAAAGGACTATTCATTGATTGCTAAACCTTTGACCGATCTATTACATAATGGAGCTATGTTTAAATTTGAAAAAGAACAAGATGCTATGAATATACTGAAGAGAAAACTGGTGGATAATCCAGTTTTACATATATATATAATCCTCATGCTGAAACAGAACTACATACCGACGAAATTGCTAATTGTTTTGGGGCTATATTGTATTAAAATAATGTTTTTGATGGTCATTTTCATCCAGTATACTATTCTAGCAGGAAGACTAGTGATGCGCCCAAATAAGATATCATAGTTACAAACTAGAGGTACTTGCTATTATCGAAGACTTGAAAAAGTTTAGAGTTTATCTTTTAGGTATACAATTAAAATTGTAACTGACTATGCTGCATTCACAATGACTATGTAAAAAACAAACTTAGCGACTAGAGTTGCAAGATGGTCTCAACTGCTTGAAGAATTTAGTTATACAGTTGAACACTGAAGTGGATCTCGTTTACCCCATGTTGATGCTTTTAGTCGATATCCTGTGTGCTTAGCTATTGAAAATGAATTTTTGATTAAATTACGAAGAGCCCAAAAGATGAATTTAGAGATTAGTGCTTTGATGGAAGTTCTAGCTATGTCAACTCATCAAAACTATTTAATTGAACATGATTTACTGTAAGAGATGAAAAATGACCAAAAATTGTTTGTTGTCCCTTGATCCATGCAAAAAGAAGTAATCAAAAAAGCACATGAAATTGGACATTTTGGATGTAAAAAAGCAGAGGAACTATTGAAAGAATATTCTATTTCAAATATGAAAACAAAAATTGAGAATATTGTAAGAAATTGCGTTCCGTGTATATTAGCAAATCGAAAAAGTGATAAGCAAAGAAGGTTACTTGAATAGTATTAATAAAGACGATTTTCCATTAGTTACCTATCATATAGATCATTTGGGACCATTACCTGCTACAGCTAAAGGATACAAATATATATTTGCAGTGATGGTTTAGCAAATTTTGTTGGTTGTTTCCAACCAAGACTACTACATGCAAGGAAACTATTGATAAAATGAAAACTTTATCTACTACTTTTGGGAATCCAGAAATAATTGTGTCAAATAATGAAGAGGTTTTGTTTCACAAGATTTTTCTGATTATTGTAGTAAAGAAAACATTAAACATGTAATGATCACTACAGGAATACCAAGGAATAACGGGCAAATAGAAAGATTAAATGTAATTATTATTTCAGTCATTACCAAATTAAGTTTAGATCAGCCTGAACATTGGTACAAGAATGTTGCTCAAGTACTAATTGCACTAAACAGTTCCTTTCAAAGAAGCATCGGTATGACNTGATTCTTCCGATATATATATAGCTCCGATAAGGCTCTCGCTAATTCTAGAATATTCTATACCCGCGTAGGTTATCTTATGGCGTTATCGAAGTTTCTCGAAGGTTTTTGATAACGAGAACATTCGAGAATATTCGTTGCGTATGTTTTGGTCGCTACAATATAAATGCTTTTGCGGAAGAGAGAGATGAATTGCGTAAGGAAACAAAAGAATAAATATATAAAGCTCAAGAAGAGCAGCGTTTTCATTATCTAACACATAACTTATTGTTAGATACATTATTAACACTAACAAACCCTCTATGTATACATTAAATTTATTTCTATTAAAATATATCATAAATCTGATACAATATCAGGACATTGTATTAGAATGTCTAACCTTTAAAAAAAATTTTTATTTCATAGCTGAAATTTTTAGGTATTCTATATATTGCCTATGTGCATTGTGTGACAATGCTTGTTTTTTCCACTTAATCTGTAACATATATATATATATATAAAAGGTTTTGCCAGAAAATTACAAATCACATAAATCAGAAAGTTTATTTTTGCACATCAGAAATGTTGATTTGTATTAGTTATTATTGAAATTTCAAATATATTTTTATTCTTTAAAAATAATCCTGAATTAAATTTCCATTATAAATAGGTTTATTAATTCTTAATTTTCAATAAAATTTTATTTATTGAGCTTATTGTATACTATGCAATTTTTTATCAATTATAAATTATGAGTTTTTGTTTTAAAAATTAATAAAATATTTCTTTTATTTAGTAAAAAATTAGACTTCAGTGATGATGAAGATCAATACAATGAAAAACTAAATAAACTGTCTTTGAATGGTGATGTAAAAAATAAATCTGATAATTCTTCATTTTATGGATCATCAAATAAGCATCCAGAGTCAAATTTAAATGTAAAAGTAGGTAAATGAACTTATTATTGTTAAAATTATTAAAAACTGTAATTTTTTCTTTGAAGGAAAATATTTTTGGATCAATGCATATTAATGGTATACCATATAATTCAGAATATATGAATTATTATAGACCTCCATCACGTCAGGTACTTAAATTGTTGATATAATGTATTATACAGTAGATCTGATGATTTATTTTTTTTTATTTTTCTAACTTATATTAATATTTTAGGAAGAGAGACAAATAGATGATGAATTTGAAGAAGAAACTGTTGGTAGAACTACTCGAGCTGAAGAACTAACAACAGTTTTACAACGTGCTAAAGATAGAAAATTAGAAGAGATGAAACGCTTTGAGGAATCAAAACTGAAAAAATATGATGAAAACCATGATAATAAAGTAAATTTACATATTAATTTTATTAAAGGTACTTGCACACAAAGTATTTAAAACACCTCTGGCTGCAATTAATGTGTATTAATCATGTAAAATTAAACTGCTATGTACAAATTAGGGTAGTAATGCTGTTAAAATCACTAGTTTTAACTGCTACCAGCCACCAATCTTAATTAATGATTAATTCATTTTAGTAGTTCTCTATTTGAATTATTCATAAGAAATTAAAAGTTGAAGTGTAAAATTGTTATTTCTTTTGGGGGAAAATAATAAATAAATACTATTTAGACAGCACTTTAAATGAATATTTATAGGAAAAAGAATTGAAGGATGAAATGTCCAAAGTTCGATCTGATTCGTCTAAAGTCAAGAATGATGATGACAAAGAAATCAATAGTAAATATTCATCATCCAGACTGCAAAAGCAATTTGAACATAGTTCTGATGTTAGTAATAAAATTCAAACTATTCCGTCAACGAGTGAGTTGTGCAAATTTTTTAAACATTATATATATATATATTTAATATGAGTATTTTATTCTTTTGAGTAGTAAGATCACTATGTCGTGCTGATAGTGACATGAGCAGTAGTGGATATTCTGAATATAGAAGTGACTCATGGATCGATGATGATCATTCTAACAAATCTTCAAGTTTGAAACGAGACAAAAGACCAGAATATGATAGGTATATTATAATATAATTTTTATTGAAAATAATAATTTATATTATTAGTAATTTTTTCAGTTCTATATATATATATTTATTATAAAACTCATATAACTTATAATCTACGTAACATTTTATATATTTTCTTTTTACCAATTTTTACATTATATAATTATTATTTTAAGATTAATTAAGTAGCTAATATTAAAAGAATCGCCTGTATACAAAAATTTAATTTCTATAATACATATCTAGTCATGTGTTATACTTAAAAGTCATAAAACTTGTAATCAGAATATAAATTAAGAAATAGGAGTTCATGTTGCTTTTGGAATAATACAATAATCCCTTTTAAAAATTATAAGCACTCTACATATTTGCATTAAAGTGTTTTGTATGATAATTACTTTAATCAATGTCAGATATTATCTATACTTTACCCAACTATGCCACATCTCCACTTTGCCATGATCCCCGTATGCTGAGTTTTCATTATTTGTTTTAATAAAAAAAAAAAATTTAAAACTGGGTTTTTTTTTATTTAAAAATAACTATTTTGATGGCTAATTTAGGTTAAGTATATATTGAGTTTCAAATATTTTAATACATAAAATGGGTATGGAGTGCTAGTCGGTACAGCTTTTACTGATATATGTGCACTCTGGATACATAACTGCAACCTGCGATATACAGAGTGGCCCACCACTCACTGACAACTTAAATAACTTTTGATCCAGTTAATATTTTTAGTTAATTTTTTTTTTTAAATAATAGTTATACGTTATACGTATAGCTATATCTCAATAATTAATTTTTTTACATTTTATTAAAAATATTAATTATTTTTAAATTTTAAATAAAATGTAAAAAAAAAAAATCTAAGATAGCTATTTTGTAGAGTAGAATTTAAGAAAAATTTTAGTAAAAAAATATCTTATTAATATTCAGTAGTAAATATTCTGTAGCGTTTTGAAGTTTGTGAAAATTTGAATTTTCATGTACTATTTTACGGTTTTAAACATTGAAATACGTATTGAGAAAAGGACAGAAGAAAACGCTATCTTTTCNTATTGAGAAAAGGACAGAAGAAAATGCTATCTTTTCATGATTACTATAATTTGGAGGTGTGTAACTTTTTCCATGAAAATGACTTTTGAATGAGAGTGATAAGTAATAATTGCCTTATCTAATTTCTTATCATGGTATTAATGCCAAGTTTGTAATGTATACACATTATCATCATATGTATACACAGTAATCATGAAAAGATAGTGTTTTCTTCTGTCCTTTTCTCAATACGTATTTCAATGTTTAGTACCGTAAAATAATACATGAAAATTCAAACTTTCACAAACTTTAAAACGCTACAGAATATTTACTACTGAATATTAATAAGATATTTTTTTACTAAAATTTTTCTTAAATTCTACTCTACAAAATAGCTATCTTAGATTTTTTTTTTACATTTTATTTAAAATTTAAAAATAATTAATATTTTTAATAAAATGTAAAAAAATTAATTATTGAGATATAGCTATAGACCTAACGTATAACTATTATTTAAAAAATAAAATCGGCTAAAAATATTAACTGGATCAAAAGTTATTTAAGTTGTCAGTGAGTGGTGGGCCACCCTGTATATCGCAGGTTGCAGTTATGTATCCAGATTGCACATATATCAGTAAAAGCTGTACCGACTAGCACTCCATACCCATTTTATGTATTAAAATTCTTATAACTCAATAAGTATTTTTTTGAAAGTTATAATTGACCTATCATAATTTCTCTATAAAAAATATTAAAATCTATTACTTATTATTACATTATTATACTTAAATTACTTCATTATGTTACTACCATTGAATAATATGTATTAGATTAGTATAATTTAGTATGAGTGAAGTGACTAGAGAATATAGGATAAGGAACGAGCATATAAGAGGAAGTATAGGTGTAGCGTCAATCGTGGATAAGATGAGAGAAAATAGACTTCGATGGTTTGGTCATGTTATGAGGAGAGAAGAATCGGAAGCTGTAAAAACAGTTATAGAAATGAATGTTGAAGAATGAAGAAGTAGAGGAAGACCAAAAAAGAGATGGATGGATTCTATTGAACGCTATATGAGGACAGCTGATGTGTTAGTGTAGATGATGTAAGAAATCGTGTTAAGTGGAAGTTAGGTATAAGTGTGGCTGACCCCAAGTAGTTGGGATTAAGGCGAGGAAGAAGAAGATAAAGATAAGTACAATTTAGTCCATTGGGAAATGTATTGATTAAAAATTTTAACTTATTTATCTTGCTATTTATCATTGTGGTTTCTTCTATAATAAAAAAAAACATTAATATCTCTTAATTATATTTTGATAGAAGACAATGTATGTTTATATATATATATATATTTTTAACAATCCTCCATGTAACTAATTATTACTTTATATTAATTTTAAAAGTACTATATTGCTAAATGGAACTTTTAATTTTAATTTAAAAAATATTTTCATTAGTAAATACAATAAATGTATATTGTAGTTAATTATTCTTATATATATTAAAGATTTAGAAAAGAAAAATCTCGTTTGGATAAAGATAAGTCTGACAGATATGCTCACAATGATTACTCTAGAGTTGATGATAATAGAAAAGGATATGATCATAAACGTGATTTTAAAAGAACTGTGAGTAGAATTAAAGTAAATGTTTTAATTATATAGAAGAGTTTACTAAATAAAATGTTTATAGGAAAATATGAATGTAAGTTCTAAAAATGAAGATATGTATGATATTGATAGAAATAATAAAAAGGAGTCCTTTTCTAAAGTACAAAAATATCATTCAAGAGATTCTATGGAAACTCCTGAAGAAATTGAAAAAGAAAATTTGTAAGTAATTTTTTTTGTACTCATTGTGAATTAAAATTTTATTAAATGTTTACATAAAATTATATTATTTATATATTTTACAGAAATGTTGATGATGACTCTTATTCATGGTCTCAAAAATCTTTGGGAAAAGAATACTATAAAGATGACATTAACTCAACGGGATACGTATGTAAAATTGTATAAATATAAATATAAACGTATACATGTTAATTTAAAATTTTCCATCCAATTACAAATTAATATCTCATATTTTATTAATTGCTTAATCCAGGTTAATTATTCGTATATTATTAAAAAGATAATATAGTCATGTTTTTTCCATTATCAAACAAATGCATCTAAAAATTGATTAAAATTATTTATAATCTAAAATTAGTTATGAGATTGCAATCACACAACAAATAGTCTCTTGCACCATTTGTTTTATTTGATATAAGTTGGCTACAAACATTTAGCTTCACTTTCAAAAAATTTTTGGAACTGGATGCATAAAATAATTTGGGTTTTAGTGCCATTAATTCTGTTGATTCTATGAGAATCAAGTTGAATACTTATAGTCAATTTGCACTGACTAAAATAAAGAACAGGAAAATATTTTTAATTCGGGATCATCATGTCATGAAAATAGAGTTTGTGTATTAATTATTATAATATTATATGTATTATAATACATATTCTGACATAAACTCGAAAAATGTATCTTTCTAGATATATATGGATAATTAACCATAGTCAAACAGTTATTTAGTTATATTAATTAAAAATCATAAAAACTTATAAATGATCTTGTATAATGATAAGCAATTATTTTGATGTAGGTCTAAAATGTAATTTTTTATAAATACGTTTATATACTGTTCTATTTAAAATTAATGATGTTTTAAATAAATTATTTTAATTGATTAAATACTACTATTTCTTTTTTTTTTTTTTTTTTACTCATAAACGTAAATAAAGTCAACATCTTATAACACTTTATGGTTGATCTTATTGTTAAATTAAAATTTTTCTTTAATTATATTATAATAATTTGAATTTTTTATTTAGAACAAAATGCATATTCCTGGTCCTATCACTCAAGAAAAATTTGAAGCGTGTGAGCTAACTAGTGAACCAAAAAGAAATCTTACACAATTAGTAAAAAGTGAAAGAAAAGATGGTAAAAAAAATGATCAGGTAAATCTTAATTAAATAAAAATACATGAATTGAGTATCTTGTTCTGAGATTCATAATTTTTTTAAAATAAATAAATACTTACCTTAAATGTGAACAGATCTATATCATATATAATTTATATGAAATTAAATTTTGCTTCTTTATGTTGTCACTCATATAGTAATTCTTAGATATAAATATTCAAAAATTCAGTACTTAAATATTATAAGAATAATTTTCACATTATAATTATAGGCTGAGGAAACAAATATTAAATCCAAAATTGGTGTGTGGGATCTTGCTCCTACAAATAAAAGTAAAATAGTACATGATCAAAAATTTGAACATGATAGTAAAAGTAGTAAAAATAATTTAAAACATGAAGATGAAACCAAAACAACAGGTAAATATTCATGTTGAACAAATAGCTTTGTGCATTATTTTCTATTCTTCACCCATAATGTTGTTGAACTTGTCACAATCAAGAAACAGGAGCGATGAGATTTATTTAAAAAAAAAAAATTTTTTTCTTTAATTTTCTCAAATTATTATTAAATATGTTTTTGGTTTTAGTTTATTTTTTAGTTATTTTTATTATTATTATTATTTTCTTTATGGTGATTGTAGTTAGTTGGGCTCCTGTTACTTTGATAAAAATAAATTCCTAAATAATAGTTGAAAAAACAAAACAAAAAATTAAAAAATATTTCTAGAACCAAAATCATCTTTAGAAAACAGTTCTGGTCTTTTCTTCGCATTATCTCATCATAAGGGAATGAGATCTGATCGCAACATTGGTGGGTCACGTTCATTTCATCAGAATATCAATTCTCGAACAGTTTCCAGGTCTGGATCAAACAGAAAAAGCACATGGGCTGAGTCATATGATGATAATCAACGACCTAGAGGTCCATCACGACGTGATGATCGAAATCGGGGTGAAGATAGAATTAGAACTGATGACAGGAATAGAGGTGATGAGCGTAATCGAAATGATGATAGAAATCGTGGTAATAATCGTCAGCAAAATGATCGATACTCTGAAAAATCTGCACTCCGAGGATATGGCCAGCGAAATGATCAAAGGGGAAGAGGCCGCCTGAGTAATACTGATTCACGTACAATTAATGGGCGGAATAGTCAAAAGAATTCTGATGAAACTAATGATAAAATTAATAAATCTAATCAAAATATCAGTTCAAATAGAAGCAAAACATCATCTAAACCTCAATCTAAATTGGATTTGTATGGAGATTCAAGTCGTAGATCTAACGAAAGTCGATATAATTCAAAACAATCAAGTAGATCTTTCAATAGTCAAAAACAAGAAGATATTTGGGAATCAGTCAGTGAACCTAGTGACTATGAAAATCAGCAAAAAAACAATAGTAATCGTCGACAAAATAGTCGTACATATTTGGCATCATCTACTAGGTAATAATAAATCTAACATTTTTGACTAACATTCAACATATTTAAAAATAAAACTAATAAAATTTTAATGATTTTACAGAGGTGAAAAAAGAAGTAGTTATGATAAAAAAGATCCTTCTAAAGACTCAAGTAATAATGAAAAATTATGTCAAAAATCAAGTTTATCTACAAATGATTTAAAAAGCTTTGGAGGTAAGTTTTTTATGCAATTTTTATCACATGTTTTGTCACTAAATATTTTACTTAATAAGAAATTCCTCTTTAGATAATCGTACCAATAAAAAAGATGAATCTAGAAAGTCGTCATCTGAAGTACTCAAAAATCGTGTATCAAATCAAAATAATCGCAAAGATCAATCTAAATCATCATCATCTAGACCTAATCAAAGTAGTAATAATACTAAGGCAGGTCAGACTAATCAGAGATATGAACGACAAAAGAGTCAATCTCAGTTTGTTGTTGATGATTCTAATACTTCTATTATTAAAGGTAAGTTAATCTTTTATTATTTACTCCTTATAAGTCATATTTTATATATATATATTTTTTTAACAGATGCTGTAATTATGGTAAATAATAATCCACCACCTCCTCCACAAACAAATGCATGGGATAAACCAATTACACATGCATTAAGAGCACAGTCACCTAATGTTAACAAGACAGTAAACCAATCTAATAATAGAGCTAATAGGTATTAAATTATGTAATTATTTTAAATGTATACTTTTAGCAAATTTAAATTTAACCATAATTTTAAAAAATTCTTTATACTTTGCTTATTTAAAAAAAGCTAATTCTTAAATCATTAACAATGAAGGATCAAACTTTTCTATTTTCAACATTTTTAATAGCGGTATTTTAAAGTCCATTTATATCTATTGAATGATTTTGTAGTTGTATTCTAAAAGTATAATATTTGTATACAAAATCATGTGCCATTTACATGCTTTATGTGGTTTCAATAACTTAATTCAAAAAATGATTATTCTTTTCATTTTTTCTTATTTTAAAATTTAACTTCTGTACAATTTCAAACAAATATTAAAATCAATAAGAGTGATTTGATTTAAAATTAACTTATTATTGAAATTTATTGTTTTTTCAGTTTGACTGATATACAAGAAAATCCTAGCCAAAATATTCAAAGGCTGGTTTTAAATAAAGACAAAATATCACCAAATGTTAGTATTTAAAAGTTAACCTTATAATTTGTTATAACTAAAATAAGTTGTAATATTTATTATATATTTTATTCATTTTTTAAGGTAATGGAAAATGGTATAATTGACACTACACAGCGAATGGAAACAATTATTTTTGAAAATACAACCTATAAATCAAAACCTTGTGGGGAATCTAAAAACAAGTATAGTTCAAATATAAAACGAGAAAAAGGTATATATACATATTTTTTAACTAGAAACTTATTGTAAACTAAAATTATTTCTCTATAGAATCGTGTAATTTTAATGAAGAACAAGATACTTGCTTTCGAGCATTCAAAACATCTAATTGTGATAGCAAAGATGCTAAGATAAATGAAGCTGTACAAATGTCCATGACCTTCAAAGTAAGCCTACTCCTTTTCTAATTTTAAAAATGTAATTTTATCAATCTTATTTTTTAAATAAATATATTTTATAAAAAATAATTAATTTCAACACATTAAAACAAATCTGCAATGTTTTTATATATACGAGATATGATCAAAAAATACTCGGACTTTTCAAAAAAAACTTTATTAACACAATATTATTCTATATACACTATAACACCTTCAAAATAATCTCCCTGGGAAGCAATACATCGCTGCCATTTTCTTTTCCACTTTTGAAAACATTCCTCATAGGCACTAATTGGAATGTCCTTTAGATCGATTTCCGTATTTTGTTTTACATCATCAATTGTTTGAAAACGACGTCCATTGAGCATAAATTTTAACTTCAGAAACAAAAAAAAGTCGCATGGGGCCAGGTCGAGTAAGTGTGGTGGTTGTGGAACTACTGGAGTCTGATTTTTTGCTAAGAACTGATGAATGAGCTGTGAGCCGGGGTGTTATCGTGATGCAAAATCCAAGAACCAATTTTCGGGCCTTTTTTTTCTAACATTTTTATGTAATCTTTTCATGACTTCTAAATAATAATGCTGATTTACTGTTTGTCCTTGAGGCACCCATTCACAATGAACTATACCACGAAAATAAAAAAAGGTGATTAATACGGCTTTTACATTTGATCTCACCTGCTTTGCTTTTTTTGGTCTAGGGGAATTTGCTGACTTCCACCGGGACGATTGACGCTTGGTTTCAACATCATACCTGTAAATCTAAGTTTCATCACCAGTTATAATATTTTTTAAAAAGTGTAGGTCAGTTTCTGCTCTTTCAAAAAGTTCTTGAGAGATGGTATTTCGGTTTTTTTTTTTTCATCGTCTAAGAGACAAGGAACAAATTTGGCTGCAATTCGGCTCATGCCTAATACTTTGGTTAATATTTCTTGGCAAGAACCATAAGATATTCCGACGTCTTCTGCAACTTCTCTGATAGTTATTCGACGACTATTTTGAATAATTTCACAAACAAGAGCAACAATTTCATTTGTTTTACTGGTGGAGGGTCTACCAACTCGTTCATTATCCTTAATGAATATTCTACCTTTTAAACCACTCAAAACATGTTGTCCGAGACAGACATCATCTCCAAAAGCTTGCTTCAAAAGTTCAAAGGTTTCACTAGAACTTTTCCTAATTTAAAACATAATTTTATGCACACACGTTGTTCTTCTATTGTTTCCATTTCGAAAATTGACGCATGACTGAAACGTGTTTTCATAAAAATGCCATAAACCAGAGAGAGAAGAGCAAAATAAAATTGAACTTGCATTATATTATGATCTCATATTTTTTATTAACTATGTAAATCATTAAAGCAAATAAACCCACTAGTCTATGCCATTCACAATTATGAATAAATCGTAGTTACTTGCTCATTTTGGACAAAACACGAGCCAGGTGTTGTTGTTTCTGAATCAATAATGTTATATTTATATTAATAATATTGCAAAATTGAAAAAAGTCATTTTAACTATCACATTTTTATGTGACATTGTATTTCTTTTTTGGCCTTCCAAATTGTAATTTTGGTGATATGTTTTATTAATGTTAGGGTAGCAATATGATGAATTATTTTAAGTTAATAAATGATAAATATATATATATAATTTTTACTTTTTCAGAATTTTTTGTTTTTTATTATGTAAACAAAATATATGTAATAATTTTTATTTATTGACTTATAATTTAAAAAAAAATCTTATTTTTGTAGAATGATGAAAGTTCTGATCTTAATCTTGGATTTGGTGATTTTGAGTCTGACTTTTCTCGTAGTGGTGGACACTTATCAACAGAAAATAAAGACAGTGTTATGTCTATGACATCACATTCCAGATCTATGCATACTGGACCATCATCTTTAGCTGCTAGCGATTTAAAAACTATGATAGCTGGTACTAAAAAGGTATTAGATTTTATTTTACTCAGTATATTTGTGCTCTTATGATATAAAACCTAAATTTTTGAAAAAGCTATAAGAAGTTATTGGTTTCTTATTTCTAAGTATTATTTAAACTAGCAACATGAAAAAACCTTTAAATTTTATTGTATTAAGTTTAATTTGTATAATTTTGTCTGCCTAAAATATATAGGTATATTTTATTAATTGAAAAATCTTATTTAATATTCTTAATATTTTACTTATTTTTTTAGGTTTGGGATGATAAACCAGAATCAAATCAACAAAACAGTGCTGAAAGTGCTTTTAACACAGTTTATAGTACAGCAAATACTGGCCAACATGATAAATCAGACATGTCTGTTATTGATGAACAAAGAGTTCATAATCAGCAAGTGTACAGGTATGTACTTTGGTACGTGACATTTTTTTTATAAATAACCAGTAGTCTTTAATATTTGTTCAGAGCTGCTTGTTCATAATTCGGTATAATGTTCATAGTTATTTACAAATTTTGTGTTATAATTAAATCTTTACAGTAGAATAATAAATATTTATTTGATTTTAGTCCAGCACCTCAGTTACAAAATGTTTCGGGTTCATTTATTCCTGTTTCTATGGCTGCTGCCTCAGGTCAACTTAAACAAGATCCGAATTCTGCTACCACAAACGTATGCAAGGTAACTAGAAGGCTGGCGCCATAAGGTAAAATATCTTTTATAATATGTTGATATTTCTCAAGGTTAAACCTCAACCGCAGGGTACAATATCACCCCCATTAAATCAACAGCAGTCATCAGCTAGTACTCATGCATTTAGTTCTTCCACTACGCCTCAACCACATACATCAACTACACCTTTGGCAAATACAATTCCAACTCAAGCAGCTCACATGAATTTACAAGTAATAAATAATTACTTGATTAATTTTTATGACACAGATTCAAATATTAAACAGTTTGAAATTATTATTAAAATAATCAAAAAGTTTTTTGGATACTATTTTCAAAATTTTCTATTAATAATGTCATTTAATTAAACAATTTTGTTAACCTAATATTTTGCATTTATGCCAACATTAAATACTTCTTCAGAATTAAATCATTTTTTTTTGTTTTAAAAAACTAATAACTAGTTTTTAATAATTATTGAAAATGTACCGAATGTCCCACCATGTTCTGATCTTTTATAATTTTTGATCCAGGAAATAGTTTGTGTTACTTTTTTTTATTATCATTTGTTTCTAACAGGAATAAAAAGAATTTTGATGGGTTAACAACAATTTTAGAAGAAGTTAATTATGAAGTTAAAAGTTTTTTAATACATAGAGTAGGTATGTAATGTGGATAGAGTGCACATACACTAGCACTAAGTGTACTACTCATCCTCGTTACATACTTATTCTTTAAGTTAAAATGCTTGTAACTCTGTTAGTACTTATCCTAAATTTAATATCAAAATTTATTGTAAGAAAACAGCTAAAAAAAAAAAAAAATTATTTTATTTTTATTAGAGACAAATAATAAATAAACTTCTAATCAAAAGTAAGATTTCACATCATGGTGGGATGCCTTGTTATATAATGAGTTGTTATTAAAATCATATTCTCGATTTTAATTGGTAAAAAAATAAATATTGTAAATATTTATAACTTTCAACATTTGTATATAGTAGCATCACTTATTTATATATATATTTTTTTTTTTGAATATAAAGATTATGATGGAAAACAATGATGGGCTCCCTGATATTTATAGTACTCATATGATGAAACAGCAACAAACACATTTAATATTAAATACAAATAATAAAGCTGGAGTTGAAATGTTAGCAAAACAGTTTGTATCAGCTGCTCCTGGACCATCTCCATCATCAGCAATGATATTTAATTCAACTCAACAGCATCTTATCCCACCACCATCACCATCAGCCCCTCAAGTTTACCAAACTATGTTAGAACCTACCCAAACTGTAAGTTTAAAATAAACATTTAGTTATTGGGTGCATCTTCAGTGTTTTTAATTAAGACCTTAATCTTTTTATTGGTTATATGTAAATAGAAAAAAAAGTTTATTGTGATTTAACAAATCATATATGATTCAATTTGTATGAAAAAGAATCTATTGATAAAGATAATTATTTTTTAATTTTTATTTAATGTTTTTTAGCTGTTATGCCATTGTCTAACATAAGTCTACAATTTTAAATATATATATATATATTCAAATAAGTATTGGAACAGTTTTTGTAAGAAGATGGCCAAGTCTAAAATGTAAATTTTTCAGGATACCAAAAAATTAAAATATGGAGGTAAATGGGGTTTTTTCAATTTTAAACCTATGAAAACAACATTGACACTATTAAACACTGAAAGATTTCTAACAAAAATGATACATTATCTGAACAAAATTAGACTTGACCCTTTTCCACAAAAACTGTCAATTAGGTTATTAGCTTATTAAAATTAAGATAAATAAACTATTAATTTAGATATTAATATATTAGCATTTTAAACAAACATTAAATTTAATTTAGGTCATTAATAATGCAACACGTTCTCAGTTTAATCAATTTACATATGGTCTCCAGTCAAATGGTTTAAATCAAAATTCTCAGTTTAACCCATCTATGTTCATTCATACAAATACACCTGGTGGTCAAGGCGGATCTGAAGTTTTTCAATCTTCAATTTCTCCATTTAGACTTGGACCTGTATGTTGATTATTTTATTAAATTTTTTAACATTATTTATTAAGCTTTTTTTTTTTAACACTTCTATAGCCTTATAATAATGGACAGCAAATCAATACTAATATAAATCCAGTATTAATACCAAGCAGTACTAATTCATCTACATCTCAAGTTAAACCAACTTCACAGCAGATAGGTGCAATTGGAAATAAAACAACTTATAATGCTTCAACGCCCTCATCTGTTAGTGTTTATTAAGCAATGTTTTATTAATGATAAAAAAATATTATGTTAATTATATTAAAATAATTTTATTAAAATTTAGTACATGGTGCAATATGATCCAAATACAATGTTCAATCAACCATATAATTCTATGAACAGTGCTAGAGCTACTCCATTACAGTCTTCTTCATCTTTATACTCAACTAATTCAGCTAGTGAGCATATATGTTTTATTAAATTTAAGCTTCAACATACAATATATTATTTTTGTTTATTTACACTTATTAAAGTTAAATAAACATGATATGTGTAATTGTAAATAAATTGATCTATTTATAAAAGAAAAAAATTAATTATAAGTAAATTGATAAGTTATATAATAATCATCTCTAAATTATTAGAATTAGTCTTTTGTATTATAATATATGTAAAAAAAATTTTAGCGGGACCAACAAATGCAGGATTTATTCCTAATGTTGCCTCAGCATTCCAAGCTCAAGTAGTAGCTGGTGCATCTGCAAATTCATTTGGAATTCCAAATGCATTTGGTTCTCCCCAAAATGCAGCACCTAATATGCAAAATTACACTTCACAGGTAATTATTTATTATATAATATTTTGAACATATTAAAAAAATTAATACTCAATTAAAGTTATATGGTATCTTCATGTATTATGTGTTGTATGTAATTTGTTTATTAAACTAATTTAAGGTTTAATCATTAGTTATTTTTTTTTTTTTTTTTTTTTTTTTTTTAAGTATCGACAAGTTCCTTATTTGAAAGGAAATTTAAGTAGTGGAAGTGGAAATAATGATCTACAAAAGTCAGGTGTATCCAATCAACAAGATATTGGAAATGCAATGTTTTCTTCAAACATATTTAGACAACAATTTTTCGATAGTATGTGAAATATATTTATTTTATGTAGTATTATACAAATTAAATTTTAAATTAATGCTAAAATTACTTTAATTCCCAACTGGAAATTTAAAAAAGTATCAATGATCTTTTTGCTTATCATATATTGATGACTTTTTTATATTAAAATATTGCATCTAATATAATATAAACTATTTTGTAGATAAATTGCTTATATTTTTATTATTATGTAAATTCATATATTCATGTTTTTAGCAAACAAACCGTTAATGAACTCAAATCAACAAACTCATCAATCTATGCAAGGAAAATATAATAACTATCAAGTTTCAACATCTCAAAATAGTCAATTGGTTAGTTATATATTGAAATTATGTATTATTCCTTCTATTATTTTATAATTCAATTGAATTAAAATGTTTTGTTATAAATGTTTATGTTTAGCCTTTAATGCAACAGCCTCGAATGAATTTAAATAACAGCAATAATGGATCAATTGCTGCAAATATTGCTCCACAGTATCCATCACCTATTCAAAGGCCAGTATCAACATTCCCCCATTTACAGAGAATGCCACCCCCTCAAAATATGAGAATTCAACCTAATGTACCTATTCAACACTTTATGAACAAAAGTCAATCTTCAAATAATTATTATGTTTCGAACACAGGTTAAAAAAAACACATATTTTAAGGAAAAATCATGAATATTAAAGCAATTTATTATTTTAATTAGGTTTAATAGTTGAACCACAACTACCTATAGCAAGCAAAATTGATAATGCTAATAGTAATGTTGATTCAAAAGCTGAAGAAAAGATAGATAATATTTCCAAGCCAAAAAATACTGAGTGTAAAGATGACAAACAATTGGTGGCCAATGAATAAATCAATTTATACTTCATAAAATGTGTGTAGACTACATATAAGTTTTGTAAACTTATTACTGCTACCTAAGTCGCTATATTATAGTAGTTGTTATCTTTAGGAAACAATTATATATTAAAATGTCTATCGTAAATATTATTTATGTCATGGATCTATCCCAAACAGTGATTTGAGAATTCTTGTATGCTATTTATTCGTATTAAGCATGTTTTTCTGTGTCAATTTTTTTATCATTATTATTATTTAAATATATGGATAATTAATAACTAAATAAAATTTATTGAAAGTTGTACTGATTAAAATTATGTAGGTATTTAAAGTATATTTGGGATTTATAATTAAACTGTACAATTAATTTGTATACGTATGTCAAAAGATCATTTAATTTGAATCACTTGTCTAAAAAAATGATATAAGGTTATTTATTAGATTCCATTTAATATGGTCAAGAACAAAATAATTAATTTTATTTTTCTTTGTAATAATTGAAAATAGTAATTGTGCAGAGTTAATGATTGTGTATGCTTGTTATTATTATTAGAATGTTAACAATTTAATATTAAATTTTATATTTATTCATTTTATTCAATTTAAATTTTAGAGATTTTTTTTATAATTTTCATTTATAACTATTAACTTTAAGCGTCTTTGTTTGTTTACTTTATTCTTATTTTTCCTTAATGATTAGGCCTAAGAAAACATGTTTTGTAAAAAAAAAAAATGTGTCTAATTTAAAAACAAAATCCCGTAATTATCCTGTAGTATGTAATCAAACTTTTTCAGTTGAAGTGTGTATTCAATTTTTTAACAGTCATCAATATAGGATTTATAAAAGAAATAGGTCAAAATAAAAATACTTTTCAATTATGAGACACTACTTGACTTTTTATATGACAAGATTTCTTTTTTGTGCAGTATTGTATTTTAATGAATTGAATTTAAGTTGAAATTAAATATGGTTTTGTATAAAGATTAATATAATTTAATAAGTTCTCATCTTCTTTTTCCTCGCCTTTATCCCAACTACTTGGGGTCGTTCTTTGTATTGTAGTCTTGTAATACAAAATATTAAATATTGGATTTTCATGTCAAGATTGTTCTTTGGTAGAAACATTTTAATTTATAATATTTTCATAATAGTTCCTAACAAAAAAATGTCCAGCATCATATTATCGTGATGCAAGGAATTGTATTAATTTGTAACTTTTGGTATTAATTTAAGGTTGAAAACTAAAACTCATATGCCATTCGCTGAATTTGTCACTTGATGTGTCCATTCCTAATTTAAACAAATCCTATTCACCATAGTTTAACTGATTTATTTAAAAATAATTTCGTTTATAAATTTGTAATCAATGATCAATCACTATTATAGATAACAACACGACAAGGAATAATCATTGTTCTATTTTATATTATCAAGGTTATTTTTATTCAGTTTAAAACGTTCTATTGGACAAATATAAATTTTGAATAGTGTTATTTTAAACGTAACAATCCTATTGATATCATAAATAAAACGTACAGTAATATATCTAGGTATAACATTAGATATTTTAATGACTTAACGATATAAAAAAAAAGTTGTTTAAATTAAGAGAATGTAGTGGCTGATAGTAAAATAATGAAATATGCTGAGTGAATTTAAAATAATAATAAAAATACTAGCTGAAAATGAAATTGAATATTTAGAATCTATTATGTATCTCTTTATTTAACATGAGGAACTTTAATTTTTAATAAAATTATCTTAACATGATTCATAATTATAAAACCTAATGTGTATATATGATGTTGGGTTATGATACAAACGAATAATACAGTGTTGACACATAATACAACAATATCAACTACTGATAACATACACAACATAACAGAATCTGTGATTTTAACTAGTCGGTTGATATATATATATATATATATATATCATATGTGTTCATTTATAAATAACTTAGCAGTTCTAAATCGTTCGATATAGAGATGGAAAGTTTAGTTCATTTCTGTGAATAGTTCATTCAAGTGAATAGTTCAAATGAACTATTCTTAAGTTCACTAATTTTATTGATCATGCTGATATTGTTTGGCAATGAACTATTCATTTTATCACTATTAGTATAGCAGTACACAGTTCAGTTGTAGTTCACACTACTTATGGGCAATTAAGTTATAAACTAACCCTTAACCTGAACATCATAAGCTAAGAAAAAATTATTATCAATACCCTCATGGCTCATGTTATCATTATCACCTAATTCAAGGTAGATATACTGACCAGTAGTCCTAAGTTAAATCAGAAATCTGATCTAATATTTGTACATAGTATGAATTTATTTTATTGTTAAACAGTTAAAAACCCTGTAACATTTTAACAATATAATTTATTTGTTATCTAATTGTAAACAGCTATTAACCATTTACAGTATTTCGAACAACGAACCACAGAGAATTTTTAAAGAAGTTCGCGAACTATTTCATTTATACATTGCTACCAATTTTTTTCGAACTGTGAACTGTTAAGTTACAGGTACTGAAACAGTTCAGAATAGTTCATTGAAGTGAATAGTTCAAATGAACTATTCGTTCACGAACTTAACATCTCTAGTTCGATAATCGATTCTAAACAGGGGCGTCATTTCAGATTATATTGGAGACTGGAGTAAATTTTTGACAGGTCCATCATTTCATAAAGCCATTGGCGATTTATTCCAATAATATAATCAGAAATCTAATTAAAAAAAGCTATTTTTTAAAAAGCTACATGACTTCTTTTTTACAGTTTTTACATAAATAAAATATAATTTTTTATGTTTATGCATGTTTGATGAATAAAGATTTATAATGACAAAAACAATTAATAAAATAAATATCATATATTTTGATATATTATCCTCATAAAAGAGGAAATATTGAAAATATTTGAATTTAGCAACCTTGAAAAACCTAAAATACCTTTTAGCTTCGATGCGAAGCTGAGAAGGTATTGGCTTTACTAAAATGTGTTTTTTTTTTTTTGTGTCCGTTACCACTTTCTCAGCTCTCACCGAACCGATTTCTTTCAATGATATGTCAAAAGATCACAAATCGTATCTAGTCGAAGACATTACCCTCAAAAATTGAAAAAAATGCCCTCGTTCCCCGTAAATGGGGGAAACCTCCAAAAAATTACAAATTTAAAAATTGTTAATTTTCGAAATTTTTTCAATTTTTTTTACTTAAAAATGCCATAACTTTTTTAAAAATGAATATATCAATATAATTTTTTTTTTATATAGATTCATGATATCATTACCTTTTATTTGGTATATTTTTTTTGTATATCTGACCCTTTACCTGCCCACAAGGGGGGATTTAAAATGACAACTTTTTCACAAAAAATTTACTTTTTCAACTTAAATTTTGAAAGTGTTCCGGAAAGTCTGACACTTTTATTCATATCTTAAATTAAAGCTAATGTAATATACTTTATTATGGAAAAAAAAAATTCGGGCTTTATTTGGTCTTCACAGTGAAAATGGCTACCAAATGCTATTATTGTGTGAAAATTCTCGATTTTATTTTTTACATTTTTAACATTATAATGCTATGACTTATTGAAAAGTGTATGGATCAATACAATTTTTTTGTGAGAAATAATATTTTTTAATAATCCCTTTTTCATTCGACATACTTAATCTTAGTCAGGATATTAATAAAGAAACATCAGATCATGTAGCTTTTGGAATAATCCACCAATTTTTTAAAATGAAACACTATCTAAAGATTTGCATCGAAGCGTTTTTTTTTATAGTGATTTTAATGACTGTCAGATATCATTATACTTGATCCAACTATGCCACGTCTTCACTGTGCCGCGATCCCCTGTGCTGGGTTTTTTACTATTCAATAGTATAAATTTTGTTCTACTAAAATTGTATTTTAGAATACTGTGCGGCCCCAATGTGTATAGGTCCAAGGGGCCCACCCCTCCAAAATGACGCCCACGGTTCTAGGCACCACAATTTAGTAATTAAAAAGTACATTATTTGAATTGAGTGAAATTATAGTTCATTATAAGTGTTCAGACGATATTTAATTAATAACCCCGAAAATTTAAGTCATCCTGTGTACTTTGATTCAATCGAAAATGGTTGTACGTATATTAACAATTCAAAAAATAACATCAATGTATTGTATACAATTCATATATATAGTCAGTGTTGGGAAAGTTCCTTTTTTTAAATGGAACTCGTTCCGTTCCCCGTTCATTTTCTAAAAGATGAACTCGTTCCAAATCCTAGTTCTTTATATTAAGAAGGAACTTGTTTCAGATCCAGTTCCTCCAAAATAAGAACTCGTTCCACTCTTCGTTCCTTTTATGTAACCAAGTTATTTAAAAAATTGTTTTTATTTTTATTATGAATTATTAGATTATATGGCATATTTAAATCAAAAGGCATAAATAAATATGTTTAATAATGTTTTATAACTAGTAACTACACAAAAACAATGTGACATCATTCTGTAATAAAAATGTATAACTGTACTACTGATCTTTTAAATCAGAATATAAATAACTACTATAATAATTAAAATGGTACACATTACAGATGTAGTTTTAAATATTATAACATTGTAATAATGCATATTTCTTATTATTAGACTTATAGCTGTTAACTGTAAAAAATTTGTACAGTTAACAACTATTTACACTTATTACAACTATTTACACTATTTACAACTATTTATTTACAGTTTTACTATTTAATAGTATTATATTAAAAGTATTTTTAGTATTTAACACACACATTAATTACAAATTTGAGAATTATTAGTCCTATTAAAACAAAACAAAATTTTCATTTTATATACCAAATTTGTTTTGTTTTAATAGAACTAATTTTTCAAAAAGTGAATCACTCAATTTATGGCGTTTTTGTGTCATCACATTGAAACCTGTCGAAAACAGTCGCTCAACAGGAGCACTAGATGGAAGGGGTGTGTTAAATTCTAAAAATACTTTTAATATTGCAGAGTACAATAGTAACACAGTTAAGTCTTTTGACTGCCATTTTAAGAATAATTCTAACTCTTCAATACGAGAACTTGAAGTTGTATTCTTCTCTACTGGTAAACATATATTAAATATTTACTGTATACCTACATGTGATAATAACTCTATTTATAGTTAATTGATTCATTTAAACAGCCTACGATCTCGACTGGGTATATAGGGGACTTCCATTGTCAAAAATCAACTAAAAATACCTTACTATTTTAATGTCTAGATACGAAGAAAACTACACTAAAACATGTTTATAAAAATTTTTAGGAACTGTAATTTCCGTTCACGTTCCTTAAAAAATGGAATTTGTTCATTTTCCTCGTTCCTTTATTTTAAAAGGAAGCAGTTCCTAGCATCGTTCCTTCAAAAAGAACTCGTTCCTTTTGGAACCAGTTCCTTCTCAACACTGTATATAGTACATGTAATGTTACATTACTCATTACTCAAGACTCATGGTTAGGTAACCCATTCTAGTTTTACTGCGGCAAAGTGGAATGCGTCCCTAATACAGAAAGCGAAACTATTAAACTTAACTCTTTCCCTTGTATATACTATGGTACTATAGTTAATAGTATAACAGTGCTCTATATCATAGATCTTATAAACATAGATAGGACATTCATAGATAGATAGATAGAAAGAAGAAGAAGGAGGCCTTTGTGTTTTCGCGGTCCTGAACTGATATGAATATGAAGCTTTTTGTTTACGTTTTAATAGTGATAAGCACATAAGATATTGTTTTTTAATTTTGTAATAAGTTCTAAATTACAACTTATAACTTTCATATTATTATAAATTACATAACTCATACTAATTATTTATTACTAATCATTAAATATAAAAAAAGTAAAATCTTATCATGTAATAATGCAAACAAATAGCCTCAAATTACTATCACCATAGTCTCTACTGATAAAGCATCAATGCCCTATCCATGTTTATAAGATCTATGTCTTGTATACGATAGTTCAATTGAATTTTTATCATGATATTATACCGTAGATAACTACGTTTCCTTATTCAACATTATTAATTTATGTTACAGTTTAAATTTATGAAATGTGAGATTGACTTTTGCATTAAAATTAATAATGTCTTTACAAAATTTACAAGTTCACACTATTACTCAAAGAAAAAGTCTTAAAATAAGTGGTACAAAAACGTCAGTTACTAAAAATCAAATTCTCGTTTCTACTGGAATTGTCTCCTTAGATGCCATATTAGGTATTTATTTGAGTATATCGCTTTTAATATTTTCCTGTGGATAGGGGATAAGAATACTTCCATGGCCCCTCTGCCAGTCGTAAGAGGCGACTAATGAGGTTGTCAGGTCGACAGCTGGCGTAAAAATCTTTGTCAAAAAAGTATGAGGAATCCTGAACAAAACATAGGCGGATTGTCCCATCTCGGATGTATGCGGGGACAACAGAAAGTAGTTAAAAACAGAGAAGGCCTAAGGAATAAAGTGTTTGATACCAGCTGGACAACTTGTGCGGTAGCTGTTACACCAGTCGTGTGTACAGGTCTACCCAATGCTTGTAGTGTCAATGGTGTAGGGACATCACCACTTAACTCTAAGCTAGACTCGTGTATAAGGGAGAAAGATAGATACAAAGTAAGAATAGGTACTTGGAATGTTGGAACATTAACTGGTAGAAGTAGAGAATTAGTAGAAGTATTGAAGAGGAAAAAAGTTAACATTTGTTGTGTGCAGGAAACTAAGTGGAATGGAGAGAAATCAAGAGAAATAGTTGAGGGTTATAAAATAATATACTCAGATAAGTCTAATACAAAAAATGATGTAGGGATAATAATGGATAAGAAGATAAAAAGTAGAGTAGTAGAAGTAGCTAGGAAAAGTGACAGAATTATGGTCGTAAAATTGATATTCGAAGAAAAAGTGCTGAATGTAATAAGTGCCTATGCACCACAAGTGGGATGTGATGAAATAGACAAGGGAGTGTTTTGGAGAGAGATGGATGAGGTGATGCAAGAGGTATCTGGCAATGAGGATGCGGTGATAGGTGGAGATATGAATGGATATGTAGGTAATGAGAGAAGAGGATATGAAAGAACACATAGAAGGCATGGTTTTAGTGGGAAGAATGAGGCTAGAGAAAAAATCCTGGATTTTGCAGTATCGTATGATCTTGCTGTGGTTAATATTTATTTTAAAAAGAGAGAAGAACATTATATAACATAAAAGAGTAGAAGGAATAGATCACAGATCAATTATTTTATGTGGAAGAGAGAGAGCGTAAAGCGAGTAAAAGATTGTAAAGTTATACCAGGCGAGAGTATAACTACACAACATAGACTGATGGTAATGGAGTTGTGGTGTACCGGAAAGAGAATAAACAAAAATAGAAGAAATACAGGGGAAAAATTGAAGATCCGGTGGTGGAAATTGAAAGGGGAAAATGAAAAAGAGTTTGTAAAAACGGTAAAAGAGAGGACGATATGGAATGTTGAGGGAGGCATAAATGATGTGTGGAATAGATTTGCTAGTTGTGTAAAGGATACTTCAAAGGAGATTGTTGGTGAGAGTAGGAGTAGAATGCCAGGAAACAAGAAAACCGGATGGTGGGATGAGGACATTCAAAAAATCATGGAAAGTAAGAAAAATCAATTCAAAGTATGGCAGAAGAGCAAAACTTTTAAATAAAATCTAATTAGAAGGGAAAATTCCAAATGAATGGAGGAATAGTATTGTGATGCCGATATTTAAAGGTAAAGGTGACATGTGGGAGTGTGGAAATTATAGAGGCATAAAGCTTATGAGTCATAGTATGAAAATTTGGGAAAAGGTAATAGATAAAAGAATAAGAAATGAGACATCGGTATCTAAAAACCAGTTTGGATTTATGTCTGGTATGTCAACAATGGAGTCAGTATTTTGTGTGAGGCAACTAATAGAAAAGTTTAGGGAAAAGAAGAAAAAGCTGTGTATGGTATTTATAGATTTGGAGAATGCGTAAGGTGGAGTACCGAGAGAGGTTTTAAAGTGGTTATTAATGAGAAAAAGAGTCCCGAAAAGGTATATTAATATAATAGAAGATATGTATGATGGCACTTGTACCAGGGTAAAAAGTGTAGGAGGAGTAACAGATGGTTTTCAGGTAAAAGTAGGACTGCACCAAGATTATGCTTTAATCCCTTACTTATTCTCTATATTAATGGATGAAATTACTAGAGAAATACAAGGAGAGGTGCCGTGGTGCATGTTATTTGCTGATGTTATAGTGTTAATAGGGAGGAAATTAATCAAAAGCTAAAGATGTGGATATCCAGCTTTTGAAGAAAAGTGTTTAAGAATAAGTAAAAGTAAGACAGAGTATATAGAGTACGAGTTTGACAAAGGAGAACACGAGGTAGGTGAAATGAGGAGGTCAGTGACAATAGGCGAGGACGTGATTGGAGAGGTGAAGAGTTTTAAGTATTTAGGGTCAGTTGTGCAAAAAAGTGGTGGTATTGATGAGGATGTAAGACACAGAATTAAGTGTGGTTGGTTGAAGTGGAGAGAAGCGTCTGGTGTGTTATGCGATAAAAGAATTCCAATGAGGCTGATAAGTAAATTCTACAAGACTGTAATAAGGCCAGCTATGATTTATGGTTCAGAATGTTGGGCGGTTGATAAGAAAGTAGAGCAGAGATGAGAATGCTTAGATGGATGAGTGGAGTGACTAGAAAAGATAAAATAAGGAAAGAGCATATAAAAGAAGTATAGGTGTAGCGTCAATCGTGGATAAGATGAGAGAAAATAGACTTAGATGGTTTGGTCATGTTATGAGGAAAGAAGAATCGGAAGCTGTAAGAACAGTTATAGAATAGAATGTTGAAAGAAGAAGAGGTAGAGGAAGACCAAAAAAGAGATGGAGAGAAGTTATTGAATGCGATATGAGAACAGCTGGTGTGAGCATAGATGATGTGTGAGATCGTGTCAAGTGGAAATTTAGGATAAGGGTGGCCGACCCCAAGTAGTTGGGATTAAGGCGAGGAAGAAGAAGAAGATATCGCTTTTAATAATAACTCAATGAGCTTTATCTTTTTGTGATATCTTTGTATCACATTAATTAGTTTTTTAAGAGATTTTTATTAAAATACTTTCTTGAGTGTAAATTAAGTTTTTAATAAAAATGCACTGTTTGTTATTCATAAATGAGTGTTCTCATTGTATAATAAATTATTTACAACTTTTATATTCTAAGCTTAAAAATAATTATGTATATAGGTTTTAATATTTACCTATATTTGATTTTCCTGCCCTAATTAACAGCAGAAATAAACAATTTAGCCTCTTAGCCTCCCACAATATTAATCCCCCTTCTGTAGCTAATACTCTTAATTCCCATTCTTCCATTATAATTATTTCCATCATATCTTTCCTGAGGAATTCTGGCTTTGACATTTAATATCTAATTATTTTATTATTATTATTTTGTAGTTATTTATATGTTTTTTTTCTCTCTTCCTTTCTTGCAATAAAAAAATTTTAATTTAATAACTTTTTAGTTTGACATTAAAGGCTCTGTTAATGATAATTTTAAATAATGTTTAATTTTTTCTAATTTTGAGTAAACTAACAATTATTGCTACATTTATTGTACCATTATAACATAGTATTATGACTGTTGTACTTTTTACTTTTGTTTATAATTGTTGAGCTAATTATTATTTAAAAAAAAAAAATCAATTAATATAAACAAGTGATTTGAATATAGTAAATTAAGAATTAGTAAACAAATTCAAGGAAAAATTATATAAATTAAAAATTTATGTTTAATAATTATTAGTTTTTAATTGAATCAAAAATCCTAATCGGGTTCTATATTTAAACTCATTTTTAGTTTCAATTTCATAATATTTATCTAAATTTAATTGCAGTTCTCTGCATGTAAAACTTATTTTTTTACTTTGATTCATAGAATAAATTAAGTTTACTACTCTTAGTTAAATATTAATTAGGTCTAAATGATTTTTTTTATATATACTATAGTAAATATTTTATGATTTCAGATGGTGGTATTCCAGTTGGAACTAGTTTTCTTGTTGGTAAATAAAAGTAATAATTTGATTAATTATCTAGCTTGGATTTGTGAACTATTTGTTTATATAAGTAGAATGTATAAAAAGAATAAAATAAGTCATATTTATATAAACCTTATCCTTTTAGTAATTAATAAATTATTTTTCTTGTTTCTCCTACTCATTTTATTTCTTTTTTATCATTTACAGATTATTTCAATATTTAATTTTTTATTATTTGTATAATATTTCTTTTGTAGAAGAAGAAGGACATGGTCGTAATGCAGATTTGATTTTGAAACATTTTATATCTGAAGGAATTACATGCGGTCATTTAATTTTGATTAGTAGCGCTGAAGTAGCTCCTGAAAAAATTGTAATTTTTTATTATTATGTAATAAAATATATATAAGAGTTTCTTATACATGTAGTTATAATAATTTATTTATTGGTATATGAAAAATTAATATTTTTATATATTTTATGTATTACTTACTTTTTAACTTTTAAAACCTATGTATTAAATTATTTTGTTTGTGTTGCAGAAAAAAGATTTACCTAGATCAATAAATGAGGAAAACATAAAACAACCTGAAAATGATGATGATTTAAAGATTGCATGGCGTTATAAACAAAATCCCATTATTGATTCTACACCTAATCATATTTCCTTTTCTTTTGGTCATACCTTTGATATTTCTGTTAAACTTTCAGTTAATGAAATAGAAAATGTTAAATGTTGGCCTGAAAAAGATGACCAATGTAATTATTTAATATCTTTTATTTTAACATAATAATGATTTTAATTTTATCATTTTTCTTAAGTATACAGTTATTCTAAACTATATAACTACATACAGCATATTATAGAATGTGGGTTTAGTATTAAAATACCTGTTGAACAAAGAAATATATTAAAAATTACTATAAGCGATTTATGTTCACCATTATGGGATAGTACTGAAATGGATGTTATTCAGTTTTTGTACAAATTGCGAATTCTCTTGAGATCATCTTATGCAACTTGTCTTATTACAACTAAACTACAAATAATTGATGCTGTAATATTAATAATTTTATTATTTTAATTCATACACATGGGTAATAATCAAATTGTTTAATTATTTTCAGATTACTAAATCTAGAATGGAACATTTAACCGATACAGTAATAAAATTAAAATCTATGGAATTAAGTTCTTGTGCTGATTATAATGGAAAGCTAATAATTGAAAAATTAGCATCATTTAATACATTTTTATACGAACCATCATCTGTTGATTGGGCAACAAAACTTACACGAAAGAAGTTATGCATAGAGGTAACTAATTTATAAAGAAGATTGGATTTTAATTTATTCAAACTTCAAATGTTATATTAAGTAAAATCATGGAAAGATAAAGTATTTATTTTAATTAAACAATAATGATTTTAGAAAATTAATTTAGACTTATAATTAAAAATTAAAATTATTTCTATTTTATCATTGTTTGTATTTTTAGAAATTACATCTTCCACCATGCATAGAAAACAATGAAAACCATGAAAAAGCTGAAAAAACACAATTACCATCATGTTCATTAGGGTCTTCTATAAACTTTTAATTACATAAATTATTTATGTTAATGAAAAAAAAAGTAAAACCTTCGTTTCATTTTATCTGTAGAAATAACATATATAAAAGAATAAACAAATTATATAGTTGCATATTATAATGTTTCTAGTTTTATTTAAAACCCTATTCAATAAATCTTTATGTATATATTAACAACTTTTTTTACCATTCAGTAATGTTTTTGAGTTCAAATAAAAATTCTAAATTTTTATTACAATTTATCTCACAGTTATTAATAAAAAAAAGTAACAGAAAAATTCGTTATTTTCTATATATATATATATATATATACTTATTTATTATTATTAATATTTTTAAGTAAGAAAAGAGTCTTTGAATTTAATAATTTTACCCTTTAAATCCTTTTACGTAGTGTTAAGTTACAGACGTGGCTAGACTGAAAAATTGCATTGTTACTATTTGGCGGGTTTTTTATTGTACGATAAGATTTATTATGTGAATAATAAGTTAATCTTGGAAATCATGTATTATGAATTTTTCTACTACGATTAGTGCGGAAATATTATAAATCAAAAATTATATTTTATTATATAGAAATAGTAACTAACCTTTAAGAGTTTTTTAATGTTAAAAATGGTAATTACGAAAATATTTTTTATTTATTTGATAATAAATACTTTTTAATAATTTAGCAATTTCTTATTATGTTAGGAGTTGTTCTTTAGTGAAAGAATTATATTTAATAATTATTTTCAACTATATACAGGTTGATTTACAAAGCAATTTGGTGGAAAATCTTGACGAACAACAATACTTGGATCATATTCAGAATATTATAAAAAATGGACATAAAAAAATTGACCGAACAAAAGTTGGTACTTTGTCAGTATTTGGAACTCAAATGAGATATAGTTTAAAGAATGGTATTTAACATAATTATTTTGTGTATCTTGAAATTCTATTGTTGAGGTTTCATTAAATTACTCATAAAACTATTCAAAAAATATCAGACTTAAAAAACTGTTAACCATATTAAGCCCTATCAGAGATCAAAAGTATTTTCATTAAATTAACTTTTATTAATATAAATTTTATCCTAACTAATTTTTTTTTTTTTTTTAAGGTACTTTTCCTTTACTTACTACAAAGCGTGTGTTTTGGCGAGGTGTTGTAGAAGAATTGTTATGGTTCATTAAAGGTTCTACAAATGCACACAAATTATCTGAAAAAAATGTTAAAATTTGGGATCCCAATAGTACACGTTCGTATTTAGATTCAATTGGTCTTTATGATCGAGAGGAAGGTATAATCCAAATATTTAAATTGAAAATCATAATTTTAATTTTGCATTATGAGATTTTAATATTTCTGAAGTTGACACAAGACAAAATTTTTTAATTTTTTCTAGGAGACCTAGGGCCGATTTATGGATTTCAATGGCGCCATTTTGGTGCAAAATATTGTGACATGCATTCAGATTACCAAGGAAAAGGGATTGATCAATTACAAAATGTTATTAACACCATAAAAAATAATCCTGATGATCGAAGAATGCTCATGGTTGCATGGAATCCTTGTGACTTACCATTAATGGCTCTACCACCTTGTCATTGTCTTGTTCAGTTTTATGTTGCTGATGGATATCTTTCATGTCAAATGTATCAAAGATCTGCAGATATGGGACTTGGTGTACCCTTTAACATAGCTAGTTATTCTTTACTAACTTATATGATAGCTCATGTTACAGGTTTAAAAGTTAGTATGTTTTTAAAAAACCAACAATTATCATGTTAAAAAAGTTAGTTTCAACCTAAATCCCTTTCTTTAGGAATTATGGCTTTAACACTGGAAATAAATGCATTTAATAATATAAATTAGTAAAAAATGATTAATTCTTCAGTAATACATTATAGGCAAACGTTTTATAATTTTTTTTTATTAATATTATTTTATAATTTAAGACTAATGAATCACTTTGAAGAACAATTTAATTAATTCATTTTTGTTTCAGACAGGTGATTTCATCCATACATTAGGAGATAGTCATATATATTTGAATCATATAGATGCACTTCAAGTCCAACTTCAAAGGAAACCCAAACCATTTCCAACACTCAAAATTATTAGAAAAGTTTCTTCTATTCAAGATTTTGAATTTTCTGACTTTTTACTTTGTGGCTATGAACCTTATCCAAAAATTTCCATGGAGATGGCTGTATAAAATAAATAATTCAAGTCACTTGCAATAAAATATATTTTTTACAGAATTAAAATTTGTACATATTTAACTATAAAACAACATAATAATTTTAATGTAAATTATATTTATTATTTAATTAATATTTTAAGTTTAATTTTTTGATACATCCATAGCATTAATAAAATGAATTATTGTAAAATATAATTGAGCAACAAGCTATGGTAAACTAATCTATAATAGATTGTTATTAAAAAAAAATTTAACTGTATCTTGGATATTGTATTTATAATTTTTTTTTTATTTATTTGTCTGTATAAGTGATAATAAAAGTCTTATTTATACAATAAAAAAATTTTTATTTATATAAAATTTTTATACAGAAAACCCAACAAATACTAAAAAAATGTAGATATAATCCTTGTAAAAATTTAGAATCTAGTGGGTTACCTGTAATATTTATATATATACATTCAACAAAAAACAATTTGGTTCTAAAATATAATTTTTGGATTGATTAATAAATCAATAAAAATAAACTATACAAATTATTTCAACAAATACCTGAACACCTAATGTTCAACCCCAATTTTGAAAAAAAATGTGTTCTGAGATTTAAAAAGATATTTAAACATTAATATCTTAGCTTATAACTTATTATTATTTAAATTTAGTGACCTTAATCCTATGACTAAACAACTAAATGTTAAGATTAATAATAATGGATACAATGTAACAAATTTTAAAATGTTAATTTTAACAACAGATGAGTTGCAAGTCAAAAATCACAATATATCACTCTCCATATTTGTTTCAGTCTGGTCACATTCCTGAAAGATAAAATGTAATGATAGACTAGTATTTTTTTTATATCCATTTAAATTTAAATATGAATACAATATAGTTAAAAAATATAAATAAAACATATTCAAAAAAGTTTTTTACTTGGTTAACCGTTTGATTTTGTTGAGTTGTTGAAAATGGATTTGATGAGTTTTGTAAACTTTGTGCTGGTGAACCAAGGTCTATACTTTCAACAAGTTGTCTAGACAGTTCATTTTGAAATGAATCATCTTCAACTTGTACTAAAGTCCAAATGGTATCTAAAAAAAAAAAAAAAATATATAGTAATTTAAAATTCTATATCTATAAAATTTTATATAACAAAATTACACAGGGTGGAATGGATCTAACTGAAACTCATAGAACTTATGATCTACATAACATTTTATACTTTTTTTAAATAAATTTTTACAATATATAACTATATTTAAAATATGTTTTATGTTATTTTTTGCAATTACAAAAAATATTTTAAAAATTAATTATATATATTATAAAAATTGATTAAAAAAAAATATATATAAAATGTTATGTAGATCATAAGTTATATAAATTGTCAGTTAGATCCGTTCTACTCTGTATATGTATATGTATATATATATATATAAATGCTTTAAAATTATAAAATATGTAATTAAAAATTTACCTCCGAAATAAGTTCCTGTAGGAAGCATCATTCGCCACTTAGATTGGTAAGAACCTGGTTTAGAAGGTGTAACAAAATCAGTACTAAGTGTCATAGTACAGCCTGGTTCAAGTGTAGTGGTTGGAAGTGAATTGTAAACAGACATAAAATCACCACCATTAAATTGAAGTGTACAACCAGGAGGCCATGCATTACGTCCATTATTTTTAACTTCCCAACATTTAGTAAATCTATTGAAATTAATTTGAGTTTAGAAACGATATACCTTAAAGTCATCAATTAATCTTATTTTTTATATTCCTTTATATACTGTATTACATCTAAAAAATTTCAACTAGTAGCAGTGAGTAAACATAAAGATACAGTAAGATATAAGTACTGAATTCATATAAACATAGTACCTATTTTAAATTAAGTAAAAATAGTATAAGGTAAAAATGTGAATGTGAACATTGAAGCATTTGGTTACTGATGAAAAATGAACACAAATATAAATTTGAATTTTATAAATTTAACACTAATCTTCAGTTTTAATTGAATCATACACATAAATCACTCAATTTCAATATTTTGGAATCATTAAACATTTTTTCTGTTTCAATAGTAAATTGAAATCCTAATCTTACCTAAGATTAGGAGGTAATTGTAATACATTTTCACTATTTTCATCTCTCACTAAAGACATTGATGGTAAGGCATTTTCAGAATTAACATCAAAATATGTACCAACAGCTCTATGCATATTCCTGCGGATGGTAAAATTTAAATTATTAATAATTTTTTATCATTTAGGAACATATATCTATTCACCAATCGTTCATCTCTAAGAAAAAAACTGCTGCCGATTCTGTTAGTTGTTCGCCAATTAATTCTCGCAGACCTTTAACCAGATTTTCTTTATCTGTCGTACAAAGACAATTGAATTGACGTAGTAAGTTTTGATCCAATGGGTCATTATCCACGTCCATTTTTTAAGTTTACTTTGGAGTAATATATTTTATTTAAAAGATTTTAAGTATTTAGGTCACACGTAAAATTTCATTAAAAGAGATTAATATTTCCACGATTAGACATTTACTGTAGTAATATTATTATATTTTGTTACATTCTCTGATAATAAATTGACAATGATAGAAGTTGATAGTTTTGTCCACTAGGCCTATCAAATCAACATTATTATCGAGACGCCATGTTTATCTTATCTGGGAGTTCCCACTTCCATTACGCGTATCATTTAAGATCAAAAAAAGTTTTACATAACAATAATAGGTTTTTAAAATTAAGATTTTTTGTAAATTTTTTATTTATTATTATTAAGTTACTAATATAAATATGTTACTAACTTATTATGTGACTTTAATTAACATTTTTTTTATCCTGTCATTTGATGTGTAAATATTGTAAAATTGGATTACAATGTCTCGTTTGGCAGATTATTTTGTGATCGTTGGTTATGATCACGAAAAAGAGCGTAAGTACTTAATAATATTAATACTTATTAATATTTTTATTAAACATAGTTAAATATAGTATTTAATAGTATTCATGTTGTATTTTCCATAATCTAGTTAAAAAAATATAATTAAATTATTAATAGTATTCAATTCATCAAAATTTTCATTGTATTGCAGGAAGTGGAACTAGTAAAGGAATAATTGTGCAACGTTTTCCAGAAAAAGACTGGAGTGATACACCTTTTATTGATGGAATTGAATGGGTAATTTTTCTTTGTGAAAATCTTTTTTTTTTTATAAACAATGTTATACAATTTATTATATTAATTTAAAAATTTTGAATTTAATTTAAATTTACTTGTTTTTTCAATTTTATTGCAAATTTTGGCTTCAAAATTTTAAATTAGTATTTATCTATTTCTTTTATTTTTCAGTTTTGTCAACCACAAGGGTGGTCTTTATCATCTGAAAGGCAAGAACCCCGTTTTTTTGTTTTTGTTCTTACTGATGTTGAAGCAGAACGACATTATTGTGCATGTTTGTGTTTCAATGAAACTGTATCCATTATTCCTAGTAAACCTGTTGATGAAGTAAGTAACATCAATTAAATCAAAATATAAATTTTAAAATTAAATATTTTCTTGTTTTGGATTCATTTAAGGATGAAGATACAGTTGTTGAAAATATAGCCCTTGTTAAAAATAATATCACCAATCAGAGAAAACATCATAGTATTATGTATGCTCCAAAATGTTTGGTTTTAGTATCAAGATTAGATTATATTGAAACATTTAGAGTAATATATTATTAAAAAAATTATTATACTTGATTTTATAGTTTATATATATTATTTTGCTATAGAATTGTTTGGGAATAATATATACAGTTTATGTAGATAATGTTGAAACACCTTTAGAAAATTTAATAGGAAATATGTTAGGCTGTATACAAGTTCCTCAACCTGGAGGGCCACAAGTACGATTTAGTATTGGTGCAGGAGATAGACAAGCTTTACAACCTCCTTTATCCTCTACATTACCTGTCACTAAAAGTTCAGTTTATCTATTATTTCAAGAACTTGGTAACTATGTTTGTACGCATTAAAAAAAAATTTTTCATATATTAAAAATAGTTACATTGTACAGGTATTCATAATGTTGTGGTTTTATTTTGTGCTATTATGACAGAACACAAAGTTTTATTAACTTCTAGAAGTTATACCAGGTTGACTGAAAGTTGTTCAGCTCTTGCAGCTTTAATGTATCCTTTTAAATATAGTCATGTTTATATTCCATTACTACCAGCTGGGTTAGTGGAAGTTCTATCAACTCCAACTCCATTTTTGATGGGAATTCATGCATCTTTAAAAACTGATGTTTCTGAACAAGTAATTTACATACATAAATTAAAATTTTACTTTGCAAATAAAATTTATATTATGTTTTAGATGGATGTCATAGTAGCTGATTTGGATGGAGGTAATATTCTTGTACCTGATGGTATAAGTCTTCCACTTCTTCCTGAACCATTGTTAACCCAGACTCAAGACTGTTTAAGTCTAGTACTACAACCTGAATTATGTTGTGCTGATCATGCATTTCCTCCAAATTCCAATACTGTTCAACCACCACCTCCTACAATAATTGATAAACAAGTTAGAGCAGTTTTTATGAGAACATTTGCTCAACTTTTTCAAGGGTATAGGTCTTGTTTGACAATAATTAGAATTCATCCAAAACCTGTCATAACATTCCACAAAGTAAATTTTTCATCAATTAATAATAAAATTTGACTTAATATCTTACAATTCTAATAATTTTTGTAGGCTGCATTTTTAGGAGAGAGATGCTTGATGGATGATGAATTTACAACAAGAGTATTAGATTGTATGTTCTTCAATAGTTTTGTTGCTGAAAGAGGTCCAGCTTGGCGATCTTGTGATCAGTGGGATGAGTTGTATTGTAACATGAATGAACTTCTAAGAAGTGAAACTTTAGATGATGGACGTTTGATTTTAACTCATATTGAAGTATGATCCATATATTATATCATAATTTTGTTAGTAACTTAACCATGAGAGTTTTTTTTAGGATCTAGCCCAAGCTTTGTACTTAAATGAAAATCCTAATCCTCAACCATATGTTCAAAAAATTTTAAAACCCCCTGAAGGAGCATTTACTCGTATTCATCAGCCTTCCTTTCCTAAAATTGATCCAAATCATGTTCAAACTATTATTAATGACAATTTAGCAAAAAATAACTTAAATTATAAGTAAGTTAACATTTTAAAGTATGATCAAATATTTATCAACATAATTTGCAAATATTTAGGCTTTCATCTATCAGACCAGCTCCACCACGAATAGTACCAATGGGACCACCTATTACTAATTGTAATGACTTAAGAACAACTTTTAGTAATTCTGCTAGACGATTAGAGGTATTTACATTCATTTTTTTTTTAAATCAAATTTTTATTGGCCACAAATTTTTTAATTTTTTGATATTTGTAGGTATTACGTAATTGTGTTAATTGCATATTTGAAAATAAAATTTCTGACGCTCGCAAAACTTTTCCTGCTGTTTTAAGAGCCCTAAAATGCCGAGCAGCAAGATTGGCTTTATGTACTGAACTTTCACAACATGTACAAGGTAATAAAGCCATGTTAGAGCATCAACAGTTTGATTTAGTTGTACGATTAATGAATTGTGCATTACAAGTAAGTTACTCATTATGACAACAATTTTACTTTATAAAATTATTGTAATTATTAGTTGGTAAATTTCAAATTAATAATTCAATTTTTATTAGGATGGGTCTCCTATGGATGAATTTGGCATAGCAGCTGCTCTCTTACCTTTGGCAACTGCTTTTTGTCGTAAATTGTGCACAGGTGTAATACAATTTGCATATACTTGTATTCAAGTTAGTAATTCTGTTATTTTGTATATTTTTCAAGTTACCATATTTTAATTGTAACTTTTTGTAGGATCATGCAGTTTGGAAAAATCAAATGTTTTGGGAGTCTGCCTATTATTTAGATGTTCAGAGAGATATAAGATCATTATACTCAGATAATAGTATTGTAAATCATAAACGGTCTTCATCAGTAAATATTTCTAATTCTCGTGATGGTTATGTAAGTTGAAATTAAAATTTTAACAATAATTTATGGTATTCTAATTTTTTTTTACGTAAGATTAAAGATCATCTATTACATGATAAATACAGCAGATCTCAAGAACCATCCGCTCTAGAAATAGCAGCTGAGCAAATGAGGTTACGTCCATCAAATAATTCAGGTAACCAATTATATTCTATTAAATAATAATATTCAATTTTAAAAACATTATTTTATGTAGACAAACTCAAAGAATACATATCTAGTGAAGAATCTACATTATATAGCCAAGCAATTCATTATGCCAATCGAATGGTTTATTTACTTGTTCCATTAGATGCTGGTAGTAGTAATATTAAAAATTCATCAAATTATCAAACAACTAATAAAGCTATAGATGACGAAAGAACATCAAATAGTATAACAAATAGGTATTTTCATTAATAATTTATGTTATATGAGTAAATATCAGACCTGTTATATTTTAAACACTTGTTTAAAATTATGTTTAAATCACCAAAAATATCAACATTTACATTGGTCTTATGGAACTTTTTAAATTGTTTATTTATGTTTTAAACATATTTTTTTAACAACCCTGGTAGATGTAAGTGTTTTTTGATTCTTCTTCTTTTGGCTTTATTACCCTTCAAGACATTTTGCCATTATCGCCAAATAATTTCACCTGTCTTATTTCTGTACTATTTCTCTAATTATGTTCTTTCAATTTTTCTAAATCTTTATCCACAAATTCAATTCATCAGTTCTGAAGGCAAGCCCTCGATCTTTTTTCTTTAGGCTTCCACTGCAGTACTTATCTACTTCCTGCCTCTTCAGTCCATCGCATTACATGTCCTAACAAGTTTATTCTGTAGCTTTTTAAAAACCTATTTATTGTTGCCATTTTTTCTCCACTATGCGCTTTATAATTAATAGTTGACCTACCTTTATGGAACTCACTCTGATATTAGCCTAAGCATTCTTTTGCATACAGAATAACTGGTTTAATAGTACTTAAGAGAAAACTTTATATACTGAGTTATAGAATAATAAAGTTTTTGCTTTCAATTATATCAACTTTCATATGGTGTGATATGATTATTACTTTGTTCCAACTGTCTGACATTATTTTTTCCTCCCATACTTAATATGATATTTTCTCCAGTATACTTTATAAGTTCTGATGGAATGCTGTCAGAATCCCATGCCTTCCAATTTTTAAGATCCCTTATTGCTTCTTTGACTTCTTCTTTAAATACTTCATTTATTTATATCTTTTGATTAATAATAAATTTATTTATAGTGCTGTTGATAGATCAGGAAGTATTTGTGAATCTGATATTGAAAATGGTTTTATTGAACCTGAACCCAATGAAATTGGCAATAAAGTCATTAAAATGGTTAGTCGTTTTGTTGACAAAGTTTGTACTGAAGGTGAAGTTAGTGAAGAACATATTCGTTCTTTACATCAAATGATCCCCGGTGTAGTTCATATTCATATTGAAACATTAGATGGTGTTAGTAGAGAATCTAAACGCTTACCACCTATACAAAAGGTGAGTTAAATATTTAAAATGCAACAAAATTTAACAATAATAATTATTAATTATTTTTATTTATTTTAAGCCCAAAATATTGACACCAAATATGCTGCCAGGTGAAGAACCATTAATGGATGGTTTAAGAGTTTACTTACTACCAGATGGAAGAGAAGAAGGATTAGGGGGATTAATAGGGGGTCCTCCACTTTTACCAGCTGAAGGAGCAATTTTTATAACCAACTATCGTATAGTATTTAAAGGGACTCCATTAGATCCATTTGCTTGTGAACAAGTTGTTATAAGAGCATTTCCTGTAACATCTTTAACTAAAGAAAAACGTATTACTGTCCAATATTTGGCCCATCTTGACCAATGGCTACAAGAAGGTCATCAATTCAGGTCTTGCACTTTCCAGGTAACTTCATATGAATATATTTTTAAAAAGTTATTTTAAATATTAAAAGATATAATTTTAAGCTGATAAAAGTAGCATTTGATGAAGAAGTTAATGCTGAGGATATTGAATGTTTCCGAAAGTTTATTCATAAAGTACGTCATCCACCCAATGTATTTAACCATTTTGCATTTACAGGACAAGTTCCAATTTATGAAATGCCTATAACCAATGATAAAGAAAAAAATGCTACTTTAAGGTAATGAATGATTTTAAAAAAATTCTTATTTTTATGCTAATATTTATCTTAGCTGCATTAAAAACTTATATAAATACTTTTCACTGTATTTTTAACAGGGGTTTTGCTAAAAAAACACTAATGAAAACAGCTAGAAAAGCTGGATTTAAACAAAAAAGTTCGTCAAAACGTCACAAGTATGTTTTGCCTAATGTATCATCTAATTCTATAAATAAAAGTAATAAGTATCTAACCACACCTGGTCGGATGACTCTCCCACCTTTTATTAACTCTGATGATGTATCTAGTAAGTATTTTTGATATATTGCACACATTTTATTTTAATTTTAAACATACAATTTTTAATTTTTTAGTGAACGAATTTGACATTAGTCCATTAAATAACCCAAGTATTGTATCTAATGTATCAGATCCCAAAACACTGGAAAGAATATCTGAAAGAAGTTATGTTAGAGACTGGATGCGTCTTGGTCTAACACCTAAAAACACAAGTTCAAATACATTAGGCCAAAAAAGTCATACCAAAGAACCATTTAAAATAACATCTCTTAATTCAGCCTATCTTATGTGTCGAAGGTATACATTTATTCTTATTATAATAACATAACAGTTATTATTATTATTATTATTATTATTATCTAGTTATCATATTGTACAATGATTGCAGTTAATAGTTATAACAACAATTGTTGTTATAAAATACTTTAACTCTTAAATAAATAACATAAAAAAATTCTTTGAACTCTGATTTTTTCAAAAATACTCTAGTCCATCTTTAACTGAAATTAGATGGGTACCATTACAACCCTGTGGTTGTAACATACCATTTTTATATTATTAATTAGTATAACTAATTGATTTTGGTAATATTTAGCTATCCAGCCCTTTGGGTTATTCCATCATCAATATCAGATGATAGTATACGAAGATTTTATCGAAATTATCGCCATAGTAGAGTTCCAATAATAACATGGCGTCATCAACTGACATCAGCTTTATTACTTCGAGGTGCTGGATACCATGGGAAAAATATCATAGGAATGTTGAAATCGACACATCCGTCATCTGCTGGTATATAAAGATGAAAATTAAAAATTTTTTTACTCTAAAATTATTTTTCATATTTTCTTATGTATTTACATGAAAATAAGTTTTTCAGCTAATAATTTATTATTTTTAATCACAAATTTTCTATAGTATTTAGTATACTACAGTTGTTTCTTCACTCTCAATTTAATTTTTAAAAAGCATTTGAAATTTTGTATTGAATTAATGACATTTTTTTTTATCTTTATCTAGGTACACTAAATTCTGAAACAAACTCATCCATTGAACAAGAACGTTACTTATCGGCTATTGTAGCTTCAACACCTTTATCAAATCTTAGACGTAGTGGAGCAGCATGGGGTTTATCAGGCAGTAGTCTCAGCATTAATTCTCTGTTATTAGCTGCTGATGAAAGCATTATATCGCAAGATAATGCACGGGGATCCAAACAATTCTCCAAAATATCTAGGTAATTTTATTATGATTGTTAATTACTTTCTAGTTTTAGTTTTTAATATAATTAAAATTTTCTGTATCTTTATCAAAAGTTAGTTTCTCTCTGGGTATTTTATATTATTAATATGCTAATATAATAATAATAGTTATTATAATAATAATAATAATAATAATAATAATAGTTATTTTTACTGTTAAACAAACATATGAACTAAATAGTTATGTTTGACAGTCTGCTGTCAGAAAACCTAGTTGAAAATGGGGATGAAGCATTGGTAATAATAAAACTATTTGCATTATTGATGATAGAAGTTTTAGTACTTGGGAGTAAGAAATGCAGAAAATATAGCAAAAAAACAGAGAAGATCGGAGAAAATGTATTGTTACAGTAATAGGTCTTAAAGACCTGTAATAATCCCAAGAAGTTTTAGTGCTTATTTTACTATGAATTATTTTTATAATCACAAATTAAATACAATTTTTTTAAAATATAGTTAATTTTTTTTTTCAACTTTATGTATAGAGGACTAAATAGATCTAGTGGTAGCAAAACATTTGGTCGTTGGGGATCAGTAAAAGAAAACAACATTAATATAACATCAAATAGTTTTCATTCTAATATGTTTCAAAATCAAGAAATGTCATGCATGCCAGATCAGGAATCTAATGCTGATGATATGCCTGAGTTTCATAGAGCTGCATTGTATATACTAGGAGACAAAACTCAAATGAAGGTAAAATAAAGATTATCAGTAGTGTTTATGTAAATAATAAAATGTATTACTTAAAAATAAAGTCTGACTGTAAATTTTAGAGCTTATTTTAACTTGAAATACTCTAGGTTTTACTTCTGTTATATACAAAAAATGAATTATATTTTGTTATATTTCCTAATGTTTTACAACTTAATAGATATCAGTTTAGGCTGGGCTAGCCTAATTTAAGACTAAGAAAATGACTGGTTGATAACAAATTTTGAAACAGTAATTCAAGAATAATGAATATTTTTTATCAGAGTGATGAGTAGTAAAAAAAATAACATAACTCACATCTCGCCTATAGTCTTCATTTAAAAATTGAATATTTAACTTCTGAAAAATTCTACTTCAAAAGTTGTTATTAACTAATTATTTTCTTAATTATTTTATAAGCTAATTAAATATGTATGTGTTATTTAAAAAAATAAAGTTAACGTACCTTTAAGTTATAATGGATGATTCTAAATAGTTATTAATAGCTAACCAAAGTGACTTTCAAACATTTTCGTGTTATATATCATTTTGTTTTGAAAATTGACGGGAAATTTTATTTTTAATTTTGATGGGTTTTTCATGTTGAAAAACTTAAAATACATCAAATTACAATATTTTATTAATTTTTTAAAATAAAAAGTAGTACTTACAGCAATATTAATGGTTAGAATGAATTGTATGGTTTTATTAAAGAAACAACAATTTAATAAAATTAATTTTAATAATTTTTTAATAACCTTTCTTTTTATTTTATTTTTATTATTTACAAATTATTATTTGATGTTATGTCATATAAGATTATTTGTTATTAAAAATAGAGTGACTCATCAATTTATTTGAGAATTTTGTGGTAATATTGGGATATAATTTGTTTTTCTTTGTAAACTCTCTGGTGGGTTATTAAAAAAAAAAAAAAAACAATTTTGAAGATTAAAAAGAGAAATGAGGCCTTATTTTACAGCTTTTTAAAAAAACATTTAAATCTATAGCTAAGGTTTGTAAGATTTACACTCTGTCTATTGATGGAGATTAGTACCATTGTAGTATATAATTACTAATCTATAAGATATATAAAAAAAATTTTAAATGTTTATTATTAATTCATTTTTTTTTTTCTGGAAATAATTTTTAAGGGTATGAAAGGTGATTCTATTATGAAAATTGATTTTATTCCTGTTGAATATGCTGATATTCGTCATAGCAAAACTTCATTTAAAAAATTGATGCGAGCTTGTGTACCTAGTTCTACAAGTAATGAACCTGAACAATCATTTTACAAGTTAGTATTTATATTAATTTTAATGTAAAAATTATAAGTATTTAAAATAAAATTTTTTAGCTACTTTTTATGATAAATAATTAAGTGTATAAATTTGTGTTTTTTTTTTTTTTTTTGGAGATAATTCTGAATAGAATAATACTCTTGTAGTATACCCAGAACTTTCCAGTCTTATAGCCCATAAAAGCTTAAAAGAATTTTTTGTATAAAATGTAGGTTTTGTGTATAATTAAAGAGGGTTTTCTCTTATTCTGTACCTTATTTCTAAAGGTTTACTTTTTATATTGCCATTTATTATAAATTTCCAAATTAAATAAATTATAATACAATTTGTAATCATGTTATTACCAAATGTGTCCACGTATGTAAAGAATGTTCAGAATATTCTTCAATATAAAAAATATATATATTCCTTATTTTGTAGTATTGCATATGAATAAAAATTTTCAGAATGATTGAATGTTCTGACTGGTTGCAGCAGTTGAGAAATATTATGCAATTATCAGGAGCTATTGTAGATCTTATCGATGTACAGGGTTCTTCTGTTATGTTGTGTTTAGAGGAAGGTTGGGATATTACTTGTCAACTTTCATCTATTGCTCAATTGTGCATGGATCCATATTATCGTACTATAGAAGGATTTCGAGTGTTAATTGAAAAAGAATGGTTGGCATTTGGACATCGTTTTAGTCACCGCAGTAATTTAGCTACTGCGTCACAAGCATCTGGTTTTGCACCAACTTTCCTACAATTTCTTGATATTGTGCATCAAATACAAAGCCAATTTCCACTATCATTTGAGTTTAATGACTATTATTTACGTTTTCTGGCCTATCATTCAGTATCTTGTCGTTTTCGAACATTTTTGTTAGACTGTGAATTAGAAAGAGTAGAATGCGGAGTTGCTGCTGTAGAAGATAAACGAGGATCCCTAACATCTCATCACAAAAATGTAGATACTGGTTCTGATGATGATATTGTATATCCAGGTAAAATTCATACATTTTATTAAATTTAACAGAAATTAAAAATATTTTTAAATTTTTCGATTTTGTAGGTGGCCGTTTAGCTGGTAATAATATTCAATCAAGTTACATACCGAATTTAGGACAGTCTGTATTTGATTATATTGAAAAATATAATGCTCGCACATCAATATTTTATAACTTTATGTATAATCCAATTATAGAACAATCAGTATGAACCAAACAAATTATGATACATGAATAAATTAAATATGATCTAAATTTCAGGTTTTAAGACCACAATCGTCACTACCTAACTTAAATATATGGCAATATTATTTAAATGAAGAATTAGCTCATGGTCCAAGTTATGATCTTGAAATAATACAAATGGATATGCAGCAAGAAGAAGAAGCTGAAGCTGCTGATGGCATCCCTCGAGAAACATTGAGAAAAGTTATTACAACAGGGTATGATGTTTCAATAAAATGTTTTATATTTTAAAATAAAACAATTGTATAATATATAGCAATTTTAGCACATATAAATAAAATTTATTTATCTACAGAGTGGTCCAAAATATTCTGATATTTAAAATAACTTTTGATCCAGCAAATATTTTAAAAAAAGTAACACAAAATATTTGGTAGACCAAAAGTTATTAAAGACGTTAAAACATTATAAACCATCCTGTCTATTATTTGAAACTATTATAAATATTTTGAATAAAACTTAGTCTAAATAATGTGGAATGTTATAAATTTATTTTTAAAAGAATTATTTGTTGGTTTTTCTTTAATTTATTATAATTAACTTTATATTTTAGGTATCATATTGTTGAAAGATATACTCCAGATGCTTTCAAATACTTATTAGATGAAATTCATAAACTTGAAAATGAACTAGGACTTCTACCTCAAAAGTGGAAAGTTCTTTGGGATAAATTAGAACTACCCAAGACTGACTCATTAAAGGTTTAAATAAATTAAATAGAATTAATAGTTTAACAACATTTTTATGAAATTTTTATTTATTATTTTAGCGTAATTCTTCATTTAGTACTCAACTAGTTAGATACCATGGACGATTATTGCACAAACGATCAACTTTAGAAATTCTTATGAGAGGCAAAATGAACAATACATCTTCATCAAATGTTGACTCAAACCCTCCTCATTCACATCCGCATCGTTTTGAAAAATATAATTTTACTACCCCTACTTATTGTGATTTTTGTTCTAGCCTTCTTTGGGGCCCAGTTAAGGTGAATAATACATAATATTTAATCAAAGTTTCATTGTAAGTTAGTGAGGCTTAAAAATATTTTTTAAATAATGTATATATAACTAGGCATAAGGAAAGAACTTATAGAGTATTACATAGCTAATAATTAAAGAATAATATGTAATTAAAGATAACCAAAAAAATGTTTAAATTATTTTTATTCTATAAGTAATTGAGTGGGTTATGATAAAAAAATCATTCTGTATAGAATACATATATACATATATATTTGTGGTAAAGCTATATGTTTCATGTATTAATTATTATAAATATTTTGCGAAAAATTATATTTTTACGTATAAATATAAACTATACAGACAGCTTTAATTTTTTAGTGAGGAATAAGCCCTATGTCAGTTTGATTCTGTTAATAATTAAACTGTGCCCATTTTCCTGCACTTTCTAATACAAACTAGTTTACACAAAAAATTATGTGTGGGGCTTTATAATAATGTTTATGCCTTAATAAAATTAAATAGTTTTAATAGTTTAAATATCCTTTTATTTTTTAAATTTATTTTCAACCTTTATTTCTAATAACTAATTAAATTTATGAACATTTTTATGTTTTTAGTAAATTGTTCATCAAAAAATAAATTATATTATGTAAATAATTATTTATTATTACTATTTATACATATCATTATTTTTTTTAATTAGACTGGTATGAGATGTTGTGATTGTGGATATAGTTGCCATGAAAAATGTTCAGAAAATGTTCCAAAGAGTTGCACAAAATATAAATCTGTATCGGATAGAACTTTGAACAACCAAAATAGTAATAGAAACTGTAGTGATACGGCTTCAGTAAATTCCAGTAATTATGAATATTTATTTATAGTTTTTTCGTTAAATGTAAAAATATTTGTCTACTTTAAGATATGAATGGCATCCACCAACAGTACTATGAACAGTTTTCTTCAAATGTAGCTGAAAATAGAACTCATGAAGGATATTTATATAAACGTGGTGCACTATTAAAAGCATGGAAACAGCGTTGGTTTGTATTAGATTCTATTAAACATCAGCTTAGATACTATGACTCATTGGATGATTCTCACTGTAAAGGATACATTGGTAATAACTATTTAAAATTTTTTAAAAATGTGTGTGTATTTTATTTTAATAATTTTTTTAGATCTTGCTGAGGTTATGTCAGTAACTCAAGCTAATCCATCACCGGGTGCACCAAAGAAAACAGATGACAAATCATTCTTCGATGTAAGTTATTCATTAAAGTGAATATGTCTTGTATTTTATCTAGTCTACATTTTTATATTTAAATAATATTTCTTATAGTTGCGTACTAACAGAAGAACATACAATTTTTGCGCTAGTGATATGACTACTGCACAAGAATGGATTGAAAAAGTCCAAGCCTGCTTACAATAAATGATTGGTGTCAAAATATTTAGTTTTATTTTATAGTTTTTTGTTGGTAAAATGTAATAAATATTTAATTTTAGTGAAATGGCCAATTTATTTATATAAATAAAAAACTATATGGTCTTATCATTAAGTTTAAACAAAATGTGATAGTTTTGCATATTATTACTATTTATTTTTTCACAAATTCTTTTAATTGTTTTTATATTTTAGTTGTAATACTATCTTACTCTTACATTCACATTTCTGATATGAATTTTATTAATCCAATGCTTTTCAGTCTTTCTTATTTATTATTTATTGTTTATACTTAAAAGACTTTAAAATTTGGTGTAAATATAAGTCATATTATAATTCAACTTCTAAATATCATGACTTCATAAATTTCAACAGAGTCATATCTGTTACTATGTTTATGTTTATTTTTGTTATATCTTGTTTTTTTTTTATGTTCAATAATTTATAAAAACAATTTGTATATGTATTTAAATTTTATGTATTATTAGATAAAGAAAATGCACAAAAAATTCTCTCAACTTTAAATTGAGATATTTACTTTCCTAAATAAGTTACCGGCAGTGTTTGTGAAGATCATTTTTCCACTTGGTTGTTTTATAATAATCTATAATAAGTTATTACTAGTTACTGGTTAAATTAGAGGTATACAATTAAAATATATACCAATTTTTTAAATGTTTTATGTTTGTTATTTCATGTAAATGACACTTACTATGACTGATATAAATCAAATTATTCCTATCACTAATAAACTTATTTATTTGAAAATAAAATTACTTTCTCTTAATTTATACAATTTGTTTTTATAAAAAAATTTTTCAATTTTTATAAAAAAAAAAATGTATTTTTATTAAAATTATTGCTTTAAATATTCAATATAATAAATTTATTTATTATATTCAACATTTTTAATTTATTTAAATTTAAATGCTGATCCTGAGTATAGTACTAATATACTGACCAAAATAATTTATTATGATGAAATTATATTAATTTAATATTATTTATATGTACATAATACTTTTTTAATATGGCATACAGAGTGGTTTGCTAACTATGCCTCATAATGTATCTTTAATAGTATAAAATATTATAATTTCTTCTTTTATGTTTATAATTTGTCTTTCGTTATATGGTTTTCATAAAAAATTTTGTCCTGTTATCTTTATTTCCCTTATAAAATTGCATCAATTATTGTTTTCAAATAAAAACATAATATACTAGCTAACAAATAAGATAGTGATTAAATTAATAAAATTACTGGTCAAAAACAACTTTTATACCAGTATTTTAAAAGATATTAGCATTTTTATACAATAGCAGCTCTTATTATAGTGAACTGCTCCAATTCAGACATATGTAGAGATGAAAATAAACAATACTTTACCTACGTCCTTTATTCTTAAATGTGTTAATAACTTCTTGGTGGCTTAAAAATTGTTATCGTCCAGTTATTTTCTTATTTTTAAGCCAGTTAAACATATATATTTTCATTTAAAAAACTCAAGTTTTTTCCATTTTTAAGAAGAAGGAGGGAGTTTAAACTATATCTTTTGTATTGATTAAAATATGTAGTAAGTATACTCAAAACTTCTAAAAAGAAAAATGTATACTTATCTTATACTTTTGAAGATATTGAGCGAGACAAAGTTTGAGGTAGTGGTATAATTAGAGTTTCTATTATGGAACATAACACCTGTATCCTCTCTATGATTACTAATCAGTAGTTGGAGGACTATCCTGAATAATATTAGACATTATTCTTCAATCAAAAACTGAGAGCAAAATTTTTCGTGTTATCTTTTTAAATACTAGAAACTTATAAATATAAAAAACTTTATAACCCTTCCCATTGTGTCATACTTAAAAATTTATATCTTTGTGAACTTGTTAACTGAACTGAATTTGTAAACAAATCAGTACATTAACTTAGGCACTTAATTTATTTTATATAATAAATAAAAAAACTTTAAATATATACATATATTTATTATTATTAAGTTATAAATTAAACAAACAATATTATTACTGGATCATATACACTATGGTGTTTCCTAATGATTGTTTTTTATTACCATCTGTAAATTCAATGTTATTTTTTAATACATCAATATTTATCTTAGTTTCCAAATTCATGATTTTGAGATTTTCTGTAGGTTGTAAATAATTGGGAATTGACCTAGGACCCATAACAGGATCACAATACCGCCACAATATTATATTATATGATGCTAAATAAACATAATAGTATTTATAGGAATTTTTATTTTTATGTATTTAATAAAATTATATATCTTACTTAATTTTTGATCAATTCTTTTTAATCTTTTAATTATTTTATAAACTGTGTCATCATTATATACAGGAATTTTTCTTTGGAAAAATGGTTTTTGAGGCTGCGGGTTTACAAAAATTAGTGGTAATGATTTATCAGGAGGCAAAAATGATATAAAAGGCTGACCAGGACAACATTCATTACAAATATTTTCTGGGACTTCCTTATCATCAGAGTATTTAATGTCTATACATTCAAGCTAAAAAAAAAAATAATTAAAATAAATAAATAGATAAACATATTTAAATTAGTTCTGTACTTACATCCAAAGTATTTTCTAAATAAGTCTTATTCACTTCAAGAATATGTTTCTCATCAATATCTAATTTAATATTAAATGCCATTAGACCAATTTTTTCAACTTTTTCTCTAACCATTTGAGCAAAAGGCATAACACGTTTTGTATACTTTTTAAGAAATTCTTTTGTTCCCAATGTTGATGCTATAATTTTGTTATTTGGCAATTCATTGTTATTTTTCTAAAGACAAACAAAAAGTTTAGTAGATATTAATATTTTTTTTAAATATGAATTTATGTCATATAAAACAATAAGTAAGATACTGCACTACAATATAAACTAGGTCATTACCTAATGATCTGAAATCGAGAGCAACAATAGAAAAAGAATACAGTATAGAATTAGTTAGGGAATGAAAATATTATATTGAAACACTTAATTCCTACAATTATAATATTAAAAAGTCACCAATAAAATTTTATTTTGAAGAGAAGCATTGCAATATGTATTATGAACAGTGACGCTGATCCCTATATATATATGTATTGTGGTCACAATACATATATAAGACAAATGGCATATAAAACAACATACTTATTTATAAATAATAAATAATGAACAAAAATAGGCTATAAAAATTTAGAAGTGGTGGTGTCATAGTAAATTTTTTTTTTCATGCAATATATATAAAATTTGACATTGGCGCCGCTAAATATAGAGAATAATTGTTTGATTATTATATATTCACCAAATAAAGTTCTTTCATTGTTTCTAGTATAGTTGTCTGCCAGGGAGGGAATGTTTTAGCAACCCATACTATGGCTTTGACTGGTTTTTCTTTAGTCATTGATATATTTTTTTTTGATCCAACATTTAATATATTTTTTTGCTGCAATCTAAATGAATGTGCTGCCTCCATCAAGTATTCTCCACTTTCTAAAAGATTTGAATCTACATTTTGTGTTTGAGGCCAACTAGCCTTAACTACACTATCCTTCTATAAGACATAATATATATATATATCACAATATTATCAATTACATACATTTTTCTATTACATTTCCTAATAGTTGATAGACATGTTCAGCAACATGTGGGCAAATTGGGGCTACTAAAATCGTTTGCACTCTTATAAAATGTAAAATTAAGTCTTTATGCATAAAATCACCACCAAGATCAGGATTTCCACATAATTCACGATACCGATCACGAGCAGCTTGTAATTCAAAAAACCCTGTTCTAAGAGCTTCTTTGAACAATAGTTTTTCATAGAACTCTTCAGTTTGTTTAATTTTAAGATTGATTTCACTATAATAATTAGTTTATATTAATTTTTCAAAAAACCAAACATTTTTTTATTTAAATATGTTATCAATAAGAGTAATTACTTTTTAAATAAAGTATCAGGATATGAGTTTGACGATCCACAGCGAAGGGATGCAAGTGATTCTAACACTTCTTTTACCCATTCAATGAAAGTATAAAGTCTTAAAATGCCTGCATAATAACCAACAAAATGATTTAACATTTTATTTATTACTATATCAATATTTATTGATATATTGAAGAAGTATTAATACAATTATTGCAGAAATTATCTTTAGCTTTAGTATAATTATATGAAGGATAAAGATATAAATTCAGCTTCATATTATAATAAAATAGAACTGAAAATTACTTAAGCTCATTCACTTACCAGCATCAGCCATACTTTCAACAAAATTAGCATCTTCAATAGCATCTCCAGAATCAGCAAGACAAAATCGCATTCCATCTGCACTAAATTTATTTACGGCTTCTTCTAAAGTCATGAAGTTACCATCAGATTTTGACATCTATTAAATGTGATAAAAATTATTTATTTAATATTGAATTTATTAAGAATAATTATTTATTTTGAAGGTTGTATGTAAATCATTAATGCTTCAAAAAATGATATCAGTTTTCATGTATCAAATGAAAATAAAAATATTAAAGAAAGATATAATTAGAAAAATTAAAAAAAAAAAATATTACTTTAGCAGAGTTTAATAATAGATGACCATTTGCTCTTATACTTTTAGGCCATAGATCAGGTCTCTTTTCCCATATTGCACAATGAACATATATAAAAAATGTCAGATGATTTTGAATTAAATCTTTGCCAGAACATCGAATATCAACTGGATACCAGTATTCAAATTCACGTTTCATTAAGTCCAAATAATCTTTTTTTATTTTACACTGTTTAGGATATGTCATATTATCTAAGAAAATATAATCCCAAACTTCTGGTGTCATGTGTTCCGGTCTACAATAAATAAAAAAATCATATATTTTAAATTAAAAATAAATATTAATTCCCAAAAAAATTAAATTTGAAATCATATAATTAAGAAGCACTAATTTATATAAAAAGCTTACTTAATATTCAAACAATTTCCTTTTTCTCCTTTAAATGTTCCTTCTTGTAAAAAATGAGCAACAGTATAATATGCCATATATATAGTAGAATCTGACAAAGATTCTATAAGCCAATATTCATCCCATGGTAATTTTGTACCTATAAAACCAAATGATAACAATTTAATTTTTAAAAGAAAAAATGGTCATAATGTTTTTGAATTGATTAAAATATATATACAAGGTAATCAACAATATTTTGATATATCTAATGACTTTTAATCCTGTAAATATTATTATTGGTTTTTAATAATAATGAAAATAATAATTTTTTGAACATTTAATAATAGCTATTTCATATAAAAGATGTTAAAGGGTTAATAAATTTAAAATGAGTATTTACTGATTTACAACCATTTTAATAAATAAAGTTGGTATGTAGTGAGGCTGGGTAAACCTCATACCGATATATATATATATGGACTTTGCTGTTACATTCTATTTATAGAATAAATATAATACCTTATTTATTAAAATGCTTTTAACTTATTAAGTAATTACTTAATAAGTTAAATTATCCTAAATCTGTTATCAACCCATTAAAATTGTTTGTAAGAAAAGGTCTAAAAAGTGGCTATTTTTAAATTTTAAAGTTAAAAATTAAACTAAAATAAATGATTTTTTAAAATTCTATTTATATTTTTAAAAACAAATAATTTAAAAAATTAGTATAGATCCAGTGAGAGCTGAGAATTGTAATTAACAAACATAAAAGTAGGTATACTATCACAGAACCAAATGCTTCTCAGCTTTGCATAAAAGTTAAAAATATGATATAACATAGTTTAAGAATGCATTAATTATTTTTCAAAAAAGTAACGTGAAATATTTGGTGGATCAAAAATTATTTAATCTGGCAAAATATTGTAGACCACTCTGTAAATATATATTTTAATATATATTTACTGTTATGTTATGTTAAAGTGTTAATAACTAGATTTATTACTAGATTAAAATTTAAAAATAATAATAAACTGATTTAATTTTCAATTAATTATAAATGTAATATTACAACTAAAAGTATTTAATTTCATTTAATAGAAAAAATTTGGAGTTTATATAATTAATTTTTGTCATTACCTAAGCCATATGTTCTAGAACATGCATATTCATGTAGCCAATTCAAGCAGGCTGAGAAATTTTTTCTCACTTCATCATGATAAGTATTCAGATTTTTCAAAGCTAACTCTGCAGCTGCTTTCCATTCAGGTTCACCATAATCCAAATACCACTGATCACACAATGCAATGACACATTCATCACCAGATCTATATACATAAAATTTATATATATATATATGGTTTAATTTCATAAATAAAACTATAATAAAATGATAATTTTATTATTTAGAAAATAATAATTATCTAAATAGTACACTTGAAATTTTTTTATATAAATATGTATAATGCATTTTAATATATAAAAAATAAAAATATATTAGCTGTAGATTTATTTTAAAATACTGTAATTGATATATTATTTTAGAATATAATTTAATTTTCACAATGGTAAATCTTATCTTTGCTTACAATTTAGTTGTTATAGTTTTCCATTAATAATAAATTATGTTGACATTTTTTTTACAAAACAATTGAACAAAAGTCTCGTTAAAATTATTTATAATAAAACTATTTTGAAATTTTTTTTTTAATGAAATAATAATCTTTATAAATATATAAATCCTTTTTAATTTATATTAATTGATACAATAAATTAGGGATTTTATAAAATAAATAAAATATTTTTAAACTACATTAAATAAATAGAAGTAACTTAAAATAACTCAAGAATATATTACCTAGATACAATCATTTTTTCTGGCTCGTAATAAATAACTGCTTGTTTTAATTCAATAAGTTTCTTTTGTAAATTCTTTTTAACATCTTGAACTTTTTGACCTTTATACTCTCCAACAATAAGTACCTTAAAAATAAATATATTATCACAAATGGTTTTTATATACTACAAAGATCAATGTGTTTACCCCATCATAAAATCCTTTTAAATATACTTTTTCTTTAGCCAATTGTAATTTTTCTTTATCATTTTGACTTTGTATTTTAAGTTGCTCATAAACAGTAACTGCACTTAAATTACCAAAATCGGGAACATCAATAATAGGAATCTATTTTATTAAATGAGAAAAAAGAAAAGCTAAAGTCAATATTATATATCTTCTATAAATAATGATAAAATAAATGACGACTAAATCATAAAAAAATAATTAACTATACATGAATATTTAAGTTTTATTTTAATACTTTTTATAAACAATATTTTCATTTCAACAGAAATTTTTCAGGAACAATTTTTACTTACTGGATCAAATGGAAGTATCATTTCATCACTTATTAAGTACTTTTGACGGAACGCTGTTTTTTTTTTCAAATCTTGTAAAGCAGCATAATCATCTGGTGAATCTGAAGGAACACTAGTAACAACCCCAGTCCCTTTATCAGGTTTAATTGATAGCATTGGTAAGGTATAAATAACCTGATTTAAACCTAATGGTGCATTCAATTTGATTCCCATGATGTCCTTAAAAAAATAATATAATACATAAAATATATAGATGGCCTATGTAATTCAGTAAAAAAAAATTTTGTGCATCAGTCTACAAGTACAGAGATTCAAATAAAATGTAAACTTTCTAAAATAAAATTTTAAATTTTATTTTATTTACTTGTCCTTTAAGCTTAGCAAGAATTTTATAAACTCCATTCTGTTCAGTAAATCCTTGATAAGACATATTTCTAGCAGCCCTTTCACTGCATATAAAGATACTCCCGTCTTTTAATTCAAATGCTATGTAATCTAATTCTGGATGAATCCAACAATTAGTTTGACCATACATTGTTTCTGGTCTTAATGTAGCAGCAACCAAGAACACACATTTATTTTTAAATGACCTAAAAAATTAAAAACATTCAAATTTAAATTATCTTGTTTAGTACTATTTTGTGACAAAAATATTTAACTGACTGTAATTTTTGAGGATAAGGTTGAAGGGCTTTCATTTTAATTAATGTATACTCTTGAGGCCCTACGCCTTCACCCTTTGATCTATCATGGTCCATGCATGGTTGATTATCTTTGGGTGAAAATACAGTATATCTTTTACCATATTTTATTTTATTTTTTTCTCGTAAACGTAAGAATTGCCAACGAACAAAACTATCAAAAAATGGATTTTCATCGGTAGTTATAAAAGTTCTGCGCCAATCCACCTTGATTTAATGTAACAAATAAATGATAATTTATTATATTAAATATTTTAATTATAATTCAAATGTGTTACTAATAGTATTTTTAACAAAAAATGATGTTTTTAATTTTAACTTTAAAAAAATAATAATATTATTAATGCTTTATTAAAAAATACTATAAATCATGCATAGTTGTTAAGTTTTCAGTTTTTAAGATTTATATTAGTCTTATAAAATGTATAACATTTTAAAACTGTTTATTTATATTTTAAACAATTTTTTATTAAAAAAACCTGCTATAAATAATGAGATAAATTCTAATTTAATCTATTTTTATCAAATTTTATAAAACATTTAACATAAACTTCTACAATATTTATTAGTAACTTAATTTTCTTTTTTATAAAATATACTACTACAATACAATTTTTTTGAGAATGAATTTTTTTATAGTTTATCATAACATATTATATTTTATTACTGCATGTATAATTTTAGAATGAAAAGAAACAAACATGTATGATAGATTGTTAAATTATTTGATAAAGAAGGATTTGCTGCAAAAAGAAAGCTCTTTTAGGGTTATAAAAAGTAATTTAAACGTTGTTGATTAAAAAAAAAAATTTAATTACAAATGCAATATATTATATGGAAATAAAAAACTTCATTGGCAAATTTCTTAAAATTGAAAAACATTGAACTACCTTCTTTTTGCAATAAATCATTTATTTAACAGTTCTACTTTTTTTTTTTAATATTACTGATAGTATAAATATTCTAGATCTTGAACTAAAATAAATTCATATTTAATATTCTATTTGTTATGTCTTACATGCAACCCAATACTTTTAAGATCTTGGACAGCTAATGGAGGAAAATAATTTAACCATGTCAATGGATTCTCAAAGCTACGAATAAGGTCATCATTTTCAAAACCTAAACTTTTCATTATTTGCCATTGATATTTAGCTTTGCCTCCTTTAGAAACAGCTTTGCTCTATGAAAAAATAAATTTAGCATAAAAAAATATAAATTACTATAAATTTTCTTACTTTTTTGCCTTTACTTTTGTCTTTTATTATTTCAGTATTCACTTCTTCAGCAATATCTTCATCGTCCGAATTTGGAAAATTAGGTGGATATCCAAAAGTTTGAATTTCATATTTTAGTTTGTCAGCACATGCTTTAATTGGCATTCCAGTACAATGAAAACCAAATGGAAACAATACTTCTTTGCCTTTTAATCGTTGAAATCTAGCTGCAAACTAAAAAAAAACAAGACTGATTAAGATATTAAAATTTTTACTAAATAACTTACTTCACACTTAGAAATTGAAAAGGTATGTCCTAAATGTAATCTTCCATTCATGTATGGAAAAGGAAAAGTGACAAAATATTTTTCTTTGACATCTTTACTTTTTAAAGTTGGGGCATCAACATCATGTATTTTTTTACTGTACCATTGATTTTGAACTTCTTTTTCTATATTTCTTAAATATTCAACTTTCACAGTACCTTTTCGATTTTCAGACTATAAAAATATTCTAAAATAATATATTTTTGAATTTCAAACAGATTTATTGTTATTAAATTTTTAAAATTAAAAAAAATATTAATTAAAATTAAGAATACATTTCTATAAATACAAGAAGTTAAAAACTATTAATACTAACCATAGTTAAAAATATAAATAAGACAACTAAGCTTGATGCTATTATATACTAGTAAGTTTATTAGCTGTATAATGTATTAACATGCAACAAGCATATTTGTAAACTTAAACAGAAATATATTAGCACGCAACGTGTCTTAAATTAAAAATGATGAAATAATCAAAAAGCTTGAAATACTATAAAACTGTTATCAGTATAAATTGTTAACACCACGAGTTTAGATAAAAGATAATACAATATTATCATTATTTTAAGTAACTCGTGTATTATATGAGAACAGGGGGGGCTTACAGTTGTTTGAAAATTAGTGAACTGAGCAAATAATATTTTCATAATAATATCTAAAGTATTGATATTCAAAAATTACATAAAAACACGCTAATTATGACTTTCTAACCAAAGTTAAAATTAACTGACGTACGTGTGTGTTTATATTATCTAGTACGTGCTGCTATATAAGATTGACTTTGAAAAATAATGAATTTATCATCTTACTTTGTATTACTCTACCTAGGATTTTTTTAAATATTGTGGTCATTAAAATAATAATAATTTGTGTAAGAAAATTATGGCAATTTCATAAAATTAATTTCACCTTGTAGGTGTAATTTTATAAAATTGCAAATTATCGATTTTTATATTTTACTACAATAATAATAAAACAAAACCCAGCACAGGGGGGTCGTGGCCCCGTCTCGCTGCGCTACAGGTGTGATCGGGCTTTACGGAGCTACGAAACGTCGGCACGAGCGCAGCTTCCCTAGTTCGGGAAATCGGGCGCGTTCTCAGATTGCGGATAGAGAAACGGCAGATATGCAGATTAGCCGCGAAATAAGCAGTCCATTCGCTTGGACTGACGAATAAGCGGTCGCGGACAGCGAGCCTCTTGGACCCTTGTTAACTCTGCAAATATGCTGGGTAGCCGTGAAATACGACGATATCTAATCGTTCAAATAAGCGGTAGGGTTCCAAGAGTGATTTTATATATTCCCACTTCGGTCCTTTATATAAAAACCAAACAGATCCTCTGGCGGTAGAGTAAAAACGCAGGTTAGAATTTACCTAAAAAATCACTTATGGCCTCTAATTCATAGACCAAAGTTACCCCCCCCCCAGAGGTATCGGAGCCACAGGGGTTGGCAGGAGTGAGTGGGAAAGGTTTCAAAACCGGACCCAACGTAGCGGGCTCACTCCGGTCGTCACCAAGCGACCGCGAAGTCCCACGCGTAGCTGGTTAGGCGCGTGGGCCTTTTATTGCTACTGGTGCAGTGCGGAGGAAGCCGCAAGAATAAAAAATGGATGGCTGGCACTATCAATAACGGAGAACGACGTGGTCGACTTCGAAAAGATGATCGACGACTGAAAGGTTTATCCCTCTTGGGAATAGATTAAACCGTGGTCCGAGTGCCAACCATACTTGCGCATGAACAGCAGGAAGGACGGCGAAAACATTTTCCCTATAGGTCACTTCATTAGTAGAAGCCGATTTATAGGGAATCTGGAGTTTTACGTCACCTGACAAAACAACAAGCGGGAATAGTAGATGATGATGTAGCTAGCGATGAGGAGGCCATCACGAGAGATGTTTCGTTTGAAGAGGACCTGGTGGATTGGAGTCCCAAAACTTTCGATTAGGACGAGGCGCTTCGTATGAAGCGAAAGGAGATGTCGCCTGCAAGTCCGGAGGGAGAGGTTCTAGACACGGACCACTCACCTGCTGCAGCACGCTTACCGCGGGTGACGCCAAGTATGTCACTGCAAGCAAGCGGAGGAAGTATGCCGATGAGGACATAGCCGCCCTCGAAAAAGCCATGGCCTAGCATGGACAGATCCTTGCGGATATACGCACTTTTGTCGCCGCTAACCGCAACGTCCATGTGGCCATGAAAAATTGGACCACGCAGCTAGGAAAAGGTCACACTGAGATAGAAAGCCTTGTGGAACCGCTACAAGAGGACGTGTGCGAGTCGGACGGAGGACTTCCTGATCCACCGACCTATGAAAGCGGAGGGACGGGTATTGAGGCTGAGGTGATGGCCACACTGCCGAAGCCGCATACTACCAATGCAGGGTTTGCGCCCCGTCCAATTGTAGCGTCACGGAGGAAGGCGCGGGAGCGGGCGCTCGCAGCTCCCTCCCCGACGGATGAAGAGTTAAAACTGACGACTAAAGGCAAGCTTTTACCTACAATTAGGCAAAGGGTGAGGCAAGCTGTTGCCTCAAAACCGGAAGTCGTACTGGTGAAGCTCAAGGGTGATCCGTCCTACGCAGAAGTCGCGAGAAAACTCGTGGCCGACGTGAACATCCAGGCCTTTGGGCTAACGGTTACGGCCTTCAAGAAAACCAGGCAAGGTGACATTGAACTATAGTTTCCGAGAGGACAATTCGAGCTCGCTGAAGCCGCACGGAGCGCTTTGGGAGATGCTGCGATAGTGACTACCATCGGGAAACCTGTAGAGATTACCATTTGGGACATCGCACCGGATACCACGATGGAAGACGTCGGCCAGGCGCTTAGACAGGCGCCGGAGGCCGAGAACGTAGAGGTAGTCTAGAAAAAGTTATGGCAGTTTTTAGTAAAAAATAACTGAAAAAATTTCGAAAATTAGCGATTTTTAAATGTGTAATTTTTTTGGAGGTTTCCCCCATTTATGGGGAACGAGGGAAATTTTTTCAATTTTTGAGGGTAATGTCTTCGACTAGATACGATTTGTGATCTTTTGACTTATCATTGAAAGAAATCGGTTCGGTGAGATCTGAGAAAAAGTGGTAACAGACACAAAAAAAAAAACACATCATAATAAAATTAATACCTTCTTAGTTTCTCATCGAAGCTAAAAGAAAATTCATTACATCCACAGTTTTTATTTTCATTTTTTTAGATAATCACAATCGTCCTAAGAGAGAAACTTGAGTTATTATCAAAGCAGATTAGGAAACTCGAGAATCTACATAGTTAAAAGCGGAATAGATAAAATGTTAATACATTGTTTATCAATATTCGTCATACAGGGCTAAATATTACAAGAATAGACTCCCCAAAAAATTACAATAAAAAAATATGTATAAATAAAAATAAACACATTAAAGTAAACTTATTATTTTGTCAGCTTTATATAGTTAAAACTTTCAACAAAAAATATTCAAAATTATCTTCTTTTTAAATGTTGTAGAAAATGTTAAACATAACATTTTCAATTATTTTTTTCCGAATTTATACTTATATATAGCCGTAAATTTATTTTAAAAAATTTTGGGGAAACTAAATTGATTTTTATGTCGTCCTAAAATTTTTTATATAAAAAAATATATATATATTTAAAAATTTTGAGAGGGTTACGGTAAGGATTAGAGGGCTTAATTTATTTTCCTCGCGATTTACACCATTAACTTGATTACAAAATAGTTATAAAGCTAGAAAACGGTATTAGTACCTTAATACGAGTCACTAATATATACATCGTAATGAAATGGGGATACGCCTATTACATTTTATTGTTATAATTACAATTACAACTTGAACACATAATTATTATGTTTCAAGTTGTCTATTATCTACGAATCATAGTAATATAATATGGTAGTCAGCTACAACTACCATATTTACAAGAGTTTCTTTGTTTTAGAAAATTATAATTTCTTGACCTCATTTATGAATGAAATTTTCGTTTATAAGGTAAGTCAATTATTATTGCATTAAAAGATAAACTTCCCGACTATATTTATTGACTAAATTTTTATAAAATAATACATTTTGTTTGAATTATTTCAATACTATATTGTGTATTTAAAATGACAAAAAATTCCTCTGCTTAAAGTAACTTATTATTTGTGGGTTCTTTGAACATCTGTATTATTATAAAAATATTTAATGTGGTTATTGAGCAAAAGAATAGCCATTATGTTTAAAAATAAATTATTTATATTGCACTTGGGTATTAACAAACTAACTGGAATATATAATAACTGCAAATTATTACAACATAAATCCAGTTTATTTACAATTATAACAACGTAACATCATACAAACCTCATTAATATTGACACTTTCTGATGCTGGTAAATATTTAGTAGGTATTTCTATATTCCTTTGAGGTATAAATGAGTTCTAATAATTTAACTATTAGTATATTTACTATATTTTATAAAAATATTCTTTCAATTATAAAATAAAAACATTTTTGTCGCAAAATTGATTTTAATGATTTATCGAGTCATAAATTAAGGGCATTGTGTATTTTTATTTTAATCTCTGGATAGTCATATATTATAATTAAACATGATTTTTACGCAGCAAATTAAAAACATTTTGTGCAATTTTCGATGCTAATATAATAGTATTTATTATATAATAATTATATTTATTAGAGAGGTATTTTATTTTTTGTTATTGTCAAGTGTATGAGACACCGATATAATTTTGGGGGATATATTACATGGTGAAAAATTTTTTTTTTTTTTTGTATAAGTAATGAAAATATTTCTCATGTATATTCTTTTAAGAATAAATCTTTAATTATATAACTAGTTGGTACTGCTTAATAATAATTTTTTAAAATTATGATCATACTGAATTTTATCTAAAGTCAAAAGACGTGTTCACATATCTCTTGTTTGATCTAGTTAAAGTCGATTCATCATAAAAGTAATGAAGTTACACAACTACCAATGAATGTAACTCGTAAAAAATCCAACTTTGTGCAAATTTTAAATGAATCATTAAGTTGTAAAATAAACAGTTGGTTAAATACGTGGCAATTCCTTAATTATGCCTCATGAAATATCTTAATATTTGTTCTTTGTAAAGCTGCTTTACACAAACAATTAATTTTCTATTACCATTCTTTTTACCCTAAACTCTTTTCAACTTTCGATTTTCAAATGAATAACCCGAATTTTTTACATCACAGATTTATTTAATTGTAAAAAAAAATGTTTGTTTATATTGTTAGATTCTCAATGATTTACAGCTGTTTAAAATTTAAGAATAATTAAAAAAAACATACTTATTTTTAAAAGACTACGTATTTATAGGGTTGTATTTTGTGAAGTGCTAATGATTCATAACACGATAGACTATACAGTTTATCGTATTTCTTTGAATTGACAGCGTTTATCTACGTACGACATGATAATATTGCCGTTTTTTTACTCATTATCCCTAAATTTTAAACAGCTGTAACTCGTTGGGAGTCTAATAATATGAAATAAAAATGTAATTTTTCGTATAAAGCAGCCCAACAATGAACCACAATTATTTAAAAAAGTTAAAAATAAGATCACCTTATTTAAATTATAGTTTATTCAGTCTACTTTCATTTAAATCTTCATCGTCAGCTATCATAAAACACTTTGATACAAATGTACTATAAAAACGGTATAACAATGAGATCGCGGCACAGTGTGAACGTAGCATAGTTGGAACAATTGTAGGTGATATTTGGCCGTGATTAAAATCCTAATAATAAAAAACAATTCAATTAAAATCAGTAAATAATGTGCAATTCTTAGAATGAGAATCCTTATTTATATTCTAATTACAAGTTTTATGATTTATTAGTATAATAAATCTATAAGCACGTATTATAATAATAAAATTGATATTGAATATTTTATTATTGTAAATTTTATAGAGAAATAATAAAAAGTTATAAAATTAAAGCAATAAAATTGTTTTATATAGAGTGGTTCTTTTAATAAGAGATACTAGATTTCTCTTAAAAAAATCATTTTCTTAAGAAAATTAATTTAAAATACAGGTGATTCAAAATCTAAAAATCAATATTTTATTATACAGCGTGATCTAAAAGCCTAAAATAATGTCTACTTCATATACAGAGTGACCTAAAAGTAAAAAATATTACATTTTTCACATTCAGAGTGATCTAAAGCCTAAAATAATAACTTTTTAGTATACAAAATTATTTAAAATCTAAAACTCAATATTTCAGTATACAGAGTGATATAAAACCTAATACGCTATAGTTCAGTATATAGAACGATTTAAATGCCTAAAATAATGATTTTAATATAAATAGTGATCGAAAATAATAACTTTATAATGTTTAATATTTTTGATGTACAAAATATTCTAAAAGTTAAACACATAGTGTTTTAATATATAGTGTGATATAATAGTGTAAAACGCTGTAATTAATTATTTAGCTTGAAGTCTAAAACTTAGTAATTTAGTATACAATTCAATCTTAAAATTTGGCTATGAAATAATACATTCCATATTAACTTTATTTTAAAAATGTCAAATTTTTAAATATTAAAGATGACATTTATAATATTAAATTTTATGTTGATGTTATTTTTTGAAAAAGTTATGGAAGTTTTAAGAAAAAAAAACCCAGCACAGTGGGGTCGTGGCACAGTGGGAACGTGGCATAGTTGGGTCCCAGTATAGATTAAAACTGACAGTGATTAAAATCACTATCATTAGAAACGCATTCATGCAAATCTGTAGATAGTGAACTTGATAAACTTGAATAGAAATCATAATAATCATTTCTAATTAACTTTTGGTGTTTAAAAAGATAAAAAAAGATAAATAAAATTTAAATAAGATAAATCTCAAATCTCAAAAAAAAAAATGATATTTAGTTTTTCCTGAATTTAACAATCGATTTTTACAATTATAATCAAAATTTATAATTCGCTTAATTGAGTAGATCTTTTTAACAACTTTTTTTTCACTGTTTTTTTTAATTAAAGTATATCATTAAAATTAATTCAGTTCTGCATATTTCAATTGTAGAATCTTTTTAAACATCAAAAGTTAATTAGAAATGATTATTATGATCTAAATAATCATTGTCTATCATTGTCTAAAAATGTATGTATTAATTAGTTTTTTTTTTGTAAATATATATTTATATATTCCATACATAAGATAGTCTACAGTAATAGGGTCAACAATTTTCCTTAAATATTTATTTTATAAGTACTTCATACATAATCCTTTCATTCGATATACTTTTTTTTTTAAATCGGACAAATGATTTTATACAATCCCTAATACAGAGAAAGGTCAAACCTTGAAACATATGTATAAATAGTAGAACATTTTCACTTAACATATGAAAATGTTCCGGTAGTACTTCGAACTTTAAACGTATATTAAATTAATACTTATGTTATTTACTGTAATTTAAAAAAAATAAATAACGTGACACTTTGTCTTCTATAAAAAACGGTCGCCAACGTTAAACAAAAATGATTTTTTGGTGTAAAAATCACAATTTTCGTGTTATAATTTCCTATTTCAAATAATTTTTCCTAATAATTTGTCAATATTTTAAGTCAAGCGATATAAACTAATAAGAGAGAGGGAGTAATTATCAAATTTAACCCCATATAAAAATAAAATTGATATGAATGATTTAAGAAGGGTTAGTTATAAATATTTCAGGGAGAATTTTTGTAACTTTTTGTTGTTAATTTAATATGTATACTAAAAGATAAAAGGCTGTCCATTTCAAAAAAAATGTTTTAGCTACCAATGGCTTATGAAAAATTTAGGTAACGAATTATAGAATGATTCATTTAATAACCACTCGAAACAATTTTATACTCATTATATCAGAAATTATAACTATTTTAAAATATAAAGTTAAGGTAAAGTGTGTTATTTTTATCATTACTTCCTCCTCTTTATATTTAAAAAAGTTAATAAATTGAGAAATACATAACATTAAAAAATACTAAAAAGAATTATCTTAACATAAATAAACAAAAGAATTATCTTAAAATTTTTTTTGATATTTAAGAAAATTATTAGTTAATAGTGTAATAAATTTTAATTAGTAATAAAAATAGTGAACTTATATAGTGGTTACTAAGCATTGGAAGGGGTCGTACAATAATTTAGCCTAGAATTTTTAAGCTCTTAACGACACTCTCCTATTTCATTAGAAAAAGAAAAAAACAAAATTTATGGAAAACTCTATTCAATTTTAGCTTTGATGTCTGTCGATGAATATTCTTAGCTCTTAATCAATCAATTTTAAAAAATAATACCTTAAAAGAACCTTATTTTAATTTAGTTAAACTTATTGTTTAGAAAATTAGAAATAGAAATAGAAATTTAGACAAATATTTTAAAATTATACTATCGTTCGAAAATTAAATTTACAGACTTTTTTTACACTTAATTATGTTGTACATTTTTTTTAATCTGAAAAATATGAAATTTGAGTACAATGTAAAAGATACAAAAGTTTTCTTTTGGTATGTTTTTTGTAAGAAATTAATGAAAGACTTAGGTATAGAAATTGCTTAAAATAGATCACTCACTAGTGAAAACTCAATTTTTAAAATCATTTAAGAAGTTCTAAGAATTCTTATTAATTAAGACTCTTGAACAGTACTACAATATTAAAAAAAATTGTCCCGGGGATTATGATTTGTTCATTGGATAAAAAAAATTAATCTACAATAAAATGTATAAGGACAATTTTTTAAACAATAACTTGATCTAAAATTTATATTCTACAATTGTTTTATTATAAAAGTCGTACTTTTTATGAAAAATTTAAAAAAAATGAAAATTTACCTTTCTAAGTAATTTCTGAGTCGATATTCGTGTACAGTGGACTCAATACAGAACAGGCTTTATGCGCCAGAGTAAATCAATTACCATCTTAGTGTAGTACAATTGCTTAAGTGTTTGGTGTTATCATGTTAAAAAAATGATAAATTGAACAGTCAGAATAGATTCACGAGTGTATCTTAAATACAGTACATAATTGCTGATTATTAACGTGTTTTGACTATGCACTAGTATTAATTAATTTCGTGGAGGAACCGTAAGGCTGTGATTTGAAAATACTGTGCTCTAAAAGTTCAATGTTCGTTCAATAAAAGTTGGTTTTTTACTAATTATCCTTCATAAAAATCTGTGAATATTTCTCTATTGTAGATTCGCCATAGAGTAAATGTTACTATGCTATCTTATAATAATATCATTGAGTATAAATAGCACTATCAATACTCATTGATGATACTTATAAGTAATAATTATATTTTATTCTATGGGATATACAAATATAAAATTTATTTTAGTAAATGCATATTCATATTGGTTCACCAGACATAATTTAGGTTTTAATTGTAAATTATTTGGTAGCAGTATCATCTATTTGTCATATTCACTAATTATATAAGTAATTATTTTAAATTTAATTAAATCTTTCAAGCTTCTTAAACTAGTTTTACATTTTTCTGAGAAATGTTTCTGGTTGATTTCCATATAAAAATTAATTGATCATTTTTTCAATTATAAATTTGATTATAGTTTAAATTCTCATGTGGAACTTATAGGAATTGAGTTAAAAAATCTGAATTTTCAAGGAATTATTTTTTCATAATACTTAAAAAATTTGTTTATATATATACATTAGATTTAAATTAATACTTTAATAATCAACATTTTTATAAATATTTTATTGTTAATTATTTATTTATCTTACAATAATTATAATACTTAACAATCCGTAAGCTAGAACTACTTTGACCAAAATTAAACCATTGAACAATTATCAATTTTTATAACTACAATAAGACTATCCAAGTTTATTTATAAACTATTTGTAATCAAAATTATTGTAGGCTTATATTGTAATATTAAAAAATATATTAACGCCAATAATCTTATTCAATTTATTATAACAGTAAATTTTCTTCGTCTTCGCTGTAATTTTCGTTTTTTATTTCCATAAGATTCTTCATCATGTTAGATGCATCTAAAAAAAAAAACATATTTAGATTTTGTCAACGTGATATTTTACATAATATTATTATAATACCTTATTTTTATATTAGAGATAATGTCATATGATCAATTTTGGTAAAATTACTTTTTAAAATTATTAAATTTTAATAATTTATCAATTAACTGTAATTAGAATCCTAAATGTAGGTGGTCTCCATTAGAATAACTATCAGGGTAGAATGTTGTTACACTCTCAGTGAGTTCATTATAAATAAATAATATTACATAAATTTATTTCTGTTTACGATTGGTTCTTATAGTCCTACTAAATTTAATGTTGAATTTTTATACTAATGTTCCTAAATTCTTAATCAATAATCTGTATTATTTCGTAATACCCTTTATAATTAAAAAATATAAAATCGTGAATTTTTTGGCTATGGTGAAATAAGTCGTTAATGAGATTACTCCTGATCTATTAAATATATTCTAAAATTATGAACATACTAACATTATTTTATAAAAAAATATAACAAAATTATATTTTTATTTATTGTTATTCGTGTATTGTCATTGGAGTATCTTGTACTTTGCTGTATGGTTAATATAAAGAAAAAAAAATTTTACTACTTTCTTTCACCAAAAAAATTGTACTCGCACTATGTAATGTTATACCTAGGACTTGTTCCTGCCTTTACTTTTTAAGCAGCTTGCTATCATGGTTTAATTAGTAGGCGACTCTAAGTGACTCAGTCCTCCTATCTATAATGTTAGTTAACAATCTAGAAAAAAATGTAGGATTGTATTTTCGTATTTTCGTATTTTAGGATGTTTAAGATTTTCATTTCTTCTTTATTATTGCTATTATAGACTATAGGATTAATTGTTTTTAATGTATACATTATATTCAATAATACTAAAATGTATAAACATTTTAAGTTTTGTACCAGAATTTAAATAGGTGTCATAATTGATAACATCTTTTATTGATCTTCCTAGTCTAGGACCAAACCACAAGGCAGAGTTTTTCATTTCATTTCTCCTACCAATCCTTGGAAATGGAATGAGTCCTTCTCTTTTATGGTTTGAAAATTCTTTTTGTTCGTTATCTAAATTCAATATTAATTAATGTATAACGATAATTAAATTAATCAAACTAAAAATTGATTCAGAATCATTGACGAAATTAAAAAAAAAACATTATTCTAAAGATAATATGCATATTATAATAATTGTAATACATAATAATATGCACTATCCAAAGGTAACAATTATTATTAACAATTGGATGTATATTGATAAATTTTTATCAATAAAGAAGTGATTATTATTATTGTGAGCTACGCGCCCCCTACATTTCTAGTTACATCTTAATTTTTAACTTACAAACATTTTGTAAATCTGGAATTATTTGTGATCTTCCAACTCTTGGAAAAGCTATTAATCCTGCAAAGGACTCTCGCCTATTTCGACTATTATCACGCTTCAGTTCATCACCATAAATCGAATCTTTAATAAAACACAATATTAGTAATATAAGTTAAGATAATAATAATAAAACAACAAATAAGGCAATAATTTTACAAAATTATTAGTATGTCAACATTATTCATAATATATAATGTATAATATATATAAATTAGGGTGTCCCATATTTTTTATATTATTTTGAAAATTCTTCGGGCTCACCTGCCAAATTTGTGTGTATACATATAAAAAGTGGCTACAAAAATTTTCAGGCCGATAAGATAAGTCTGACCCGGCCGACTTGTGGTTGAAAATTGGCCAAAAAGGGTAGTTTTTTAGTTTTTAGCATTTAACTCGTAAAATAGCGTTCTCACAAAAAAAAAATTATAGAAACTAAATTGTAAATCTAATTGTTTTGTATAAATTAAATTTTATAAGTTTTTCTTCTAAATACATTAGTTTTACAGAAAAATTTTAAAATACGTAATATTTCGTACATTTGTCATTTTTATGAAATTGGCATATTTACGAATATTTCATCATATCTGACGAACCATAGTGATACAATCTAATATTTCATACAAAATTTATTTAAAATTGAATTTTACAAAATAAAAGTAGTTGGTAAAAATTTCATTGAACCGACCGTTTTATTGCTATAGCTGATCATATTACCATTTTTACTAAATATATTGCTAGATTCTGTTAGTTATCAACTGGTATAAGATAAATAAGGTATACTCTACGCAAAGTATACCTTATTTATCAAATGCCATAATTATATGCTCTTCTTCATCCATAAAATCTGGAAAGGAAAAACCTTTTAATATTTTAGCAAAATAGAATAAAAGGGGGCAAACAAGTACCGAAACTCGTAATTGCGTCAGATTGGTATGAAATAAGTGCACGAGACGCAGATTATATTATTCAAACAACAGTTGAAGCTTTATGTCATGAAGTCGATTCTCTTACTATAAACAAGTGTCCAGTACATAGATGCCGTGATGCTATGCAAATTGAACGGGCTATCTTAATAAAAAAAAAAAATTAAAGTTGTCCTTCTATACACTTTACTGTGCATTGGGTTGGAAAAATTTTACCAACTTTAAATGTTCGACTTTCGTTCATTGGCATCTGACGAGTACAATACCATTGGCACATTTGGGTTAGGCCATGTAAAATTAATCGACCCGGTTTGCTCGTTTCAAGTTACGTCGTTGCTTATCGTACTCTCGTGTGTTGTTTCTGAAGTGTACTTGCTAATTTCGGAGTGAATTTTGTATTGCACAGTTCAAATGATTGTAAGCCAACAGCAATTAATTTCTTAGACAGGGAACGATTTAAACCTCCGTTTATATTATCCGGACACATAACAATTTACAGTGGTCACTTATTAACACCGCTATTTTGACTCCGTGGATGATAAAAATGATGCACTCTAAGCTCTGATCGCATTCGTCCACGACCATCAAATAAATATTTGCTTTCTATAAACGGCTGTACCCGGCACTGAAACAAATTGTACACATTACTCAACTCTTCGCTTAACAGTCGATTTTCGCCTATCTTTTCAAAATATTGTAGTCTCCTCTTTCTTTTGGGCTCAACTCGACATCTCAATCAATCAATCCGTGTAGTGTTTTAAATTCTGAATGACCTCAAAGTTTTTTTATTTTTTCATTAAAGCATATGCTTGAAAGATTGCTTTCAAAAGTGTTATTCACGTTTTAACAAGTCTAACAACATTGATTTCTATTTTAGCTCTAGTCAATTAATTAACCACATTGTTCTATGGTGCGGCAAACTTACACTGTTCCGGACTTCGACAGGTTAAATACAATAGTGGCGCGACAAACTGTTTTTTCCAGTCTCTGACGGCCTCTGAATTAAAGAAACGGGTGTGCGTAGGGCATACCTTACAGCAGATAACTGAGCCTCATTTAATCCAGGTAAATTAGAACATAATAGATTTTCGTCGTCTTCGATGGATGTTGTGGTGTTTGGCACTCCAGCAAAATTGATCTTACAACAGGTGTAACTCACTCATATATGTAAGAAAAATTAATGAGTGCCTCTTCCATTCGAGCGTATGGCGTTTTATCAAACGACTTTTTCAAAGTTGCCAGTGTACCAAATGGCAAGTTCATTACAAAATTTACTTGAACGTCAACATCGTTGGCGAACTATTTAAAATTTGTAATAATTTTTTTTATGGCGTTACTATTTGTCGAAATGAAATCCATAATTCTTTGTCGATTAAAAATATATAATATTTGTTATTGGTTATATGAAGTCATATTTTTGTCTTTTTGTTGTAATTTCGACAGTTAATAATTTCGCATTCAAAAGAATATTTTTTGTCCTGCTGTTATTATACAAACATCCAACTCTTATTAATGACTAGAAAAATTTCCATATTGTTTTGATGAAAAAATTGTCGCTGAAGGGACAGTAGAACACGAAAGACTTAATGATGATAATATCTTCAGCGTTCAATTCATTTATATTAAATGATAATATGCTACTTTCTACGAGTTTCTCATTAGATAAACGATGTTCATTTTCAACAGTGTTAATACAATACAACAACACATAGCTATTTTTCTGGTGAACTCATTTCCTATAGTCAAGTAAATGCCACATGAAAATGAGATATGTAAGATTTTCCATATATTCTTTGGCTGCATACTTACAGGAAATGAAGTTCTTACACGTATTTATTCAAAAAATATAATCGCTTGATTGTATGAAATTTGTTTGTAGATAATTTCTTTAAGATAAATTTTCGCAATATACTAAATCCAAAAACATTAAATTCTAAAATCGAAACGCTGTTTTTATATGAAAAAATTGCTCTTATATAACAAAAAAGGAAATAAAATATTCTTTTTGGTTAAAATCACTATTTTGAAGAGCCAAAATTACATTCTGTAATGGATCTCAAGTTGAAATAATCGAAAAAATCGATATGTTTAACACAAAAAACGTATATTTTGATACATTCAAAAGTAGTGTAATACTAATTTCAGTATAAACAGACTTTTCTTAGATACAAGTTTTACGTTAGAAAATCGATTAATGATCAGCTATGGATTAAAACGAAGAAAATTTTGAACTATTAATAAAGCCTACATGTTTTTTTTACAATAAGTGCATTACTTGTTCTAATATTGAATAACAAGCTTTTAAATTTAACTTTTTCACATTAATTTTAAGAATCAAATCTTTTGATCTTAACATTTATCTTACGTGAAAATTCAGACCAAATATTCAAGCCTTAAGTGAGTTTTATTCAAACATTAAAATAATTGAATTGAAAAAGTAATTTGTACATCTATTCTTTAATTATGAAGTTGTTCTTTTATAAAAACACTTTTAAAATTTCATATTTAAAAGTGATAAAATAAATTTTATTGTAATTAGTTACATTTATTTTTTTCGTTTTTTGTTTTGTTTAATATTATTATTAACTAAAAATAATTATTATAGTTTTGGTTTTACAGCTTCAATTATTTTTGTTAATTTAAAATTTTGTAATAGTATAAAAATGTTATGAAGTCCTGATTATTTTATCTTTTATATGTAGGGTGTGGAGTTATATGTGAATTAGATTTTTTCATATTAAGTAGATTTTTATATACTATATATTATTGTTGGTTAATAAGATAATAACTAATTTTTTTTATTACCTAAACGAGTATTACTATCTAAGTTTTCAAATTATATTCTTACTTTCTTTTAAAAAATCAATTCAGGCTTAAAGGTGTCAACCTGCCTTGATCTCTACATTTAGTTAAATGAAAAATTAATTATTTTATTAAGTGACAATTGATTTAATCAACTATCGGAATAAAATTAAAGTAACAATTAGCGTATCTATATTAACAAATATATATATTATAAATTCTTATATTTATTTCTCTTACTTTGATTTATAATTCGTTTAATTATTATGAAATTAAGTTCTTGCAAATTAATTTACTGAAATGAACAAAAAAACTTTCAATACATTTTTATGTTTTAATTTTGTGCTCTCTTTACTTCCGGATGGTTGAAATAAAATTTAAAAATGTATTAATTATAATAAGTGCATTGAAGAAAATTGCATTTTTATTGTATACATAATTCACTTTAATAGATTTAAATTATTTTGCTTCCTTTTACTTACAACTACATTTTATTCAAACTACATGAAATCCGTATTATATAGGTTTTATATATAAAACATTTGAGTTATTTAAATATGAATAATAGTAATACAAATAAATTATCTTACAATGGTATGTGTTAAAAAATAATTTAAACAATAATACGATTCCTTTCATGGTTATAGCTAATATTTAATAACATTAGCACAATAAAAATATTTAAAGCAATACTGCATTTTGAATAAAAAACACATGTGCTACTTGAACGGAATGAACATAATAACAATAGTAAGTACACTTTTAATTACTTTTACTTATTTTTGCCAATCAGAGTATATACAGTTGATATTTATACCCAATAAACATTATAATGCATATTTTTTGTTCAAAAATGTATAAATGATAAATAATTTTATGATATGGAAATATTTAGAATTTAAATTGATGCAAAATTGTATGTATATTTTATATTATCTATGCATAACAAGAGATTAAGCACGAACTGTATAAAAATAATAAGTGTTGAATTACTCATTTTTTGAAAATTTATAAAAAAAAGTTGATGTGAAGTATAAAATAGTATATTTGCATAACAATGTATTTAACAAAAATATATTCAAGAGATTTAGCACACGTAACAATTTTAGTACTAATTTTCCACATAAGAATTTATCTCTGAGCAGCATTCCAGGAGCGCTGAAACCCTAAATACACCACTGCTTATACACCAAGAAGATTTATGTATAATACAAGTATTAGAATTAGTATATACATGTATTGTGGTCGCAATACATATATTTGGTGAGTGGGGTATATCAGGGCACATGTCCACATGAAAGATGCCCGTAATTTTGCGAAAGAGGTACTCATAAGTAATATAAAATTGTATATCGG